GGATTTTTTTGACATAGAGAATATTATCATCTACAAACAGTTTTATTCATTTTTTCTTTTTATTGCCTTATCCTATTGCACTGGGTAGGATTTTCAATACAATGTTGAATATATATGTGTACTTTTAATATTTATTATTCTTTTTGAGTTCTATTATCCTCTTTAATAAAATATTTTCTTGAGTAATTTTGAGTTATTGTCTTTTGATCTTTCATATTTTCTATCATTTAAAATTTTTGAAAATTTTATAGGAATATTGGATTATAGTTTTCATCTTTTTTTCTGCTTCATCGTTCTCTCCACCTTTGTTTAACTATAGCAACTTTGAATAGAATTCAATCAGAATCCTTTTCTGTGGCTTATTTTTAACTAAATGTTATTTTGTAATTTTAAGAAGGAAAGGTGTATAGAATAGTTTTATAGCTTTATGATTCTACAGATTCTTTTAAAATATTATTTTAGTTGTAGATGTACACAATATCTTTATTTATTTATTTTTATGTGGTGCTAAGGATCGAACCCAGTGCCTCACCAATGCAAGGCAAACGCTCTACCACTGGGCCACAGCCGCAGCCCCTACAGATTCTTTTTCTGGTATTTTATGAAATATGTTTACCTCAATTTTTTGAACCCTTTCTCCTGTCTGACTTTTGGGTGGGCCCACATTATTCCTTTGCCCTCTGTTGTCCTCATCCTATTCAGTTAGGATTTTACTTCTAGCAGTTTCTCCTTGGTGTTGGACTTTGTCCAAGAATGTAGTTCTTATTTGCTGGTTTTGAGAGTTTCTAGACTTCACATTATTGTGGTAACTTTAGAATTTCCTGCTCATTCCTTCACAATTGACCTAAACTTTTTGTTCATCAGACTCCCTGCCCATTTTGCAGCTGATCCCATATTGGTTTCCCTTGCTTTTTAGCAAATATTTGGCAGTTTGGGGCTTTCCCATTCTCAAAGCTTTCAGATTCTTTGCTGTGTTCCCCTATTTCCTTCTACACAGAAGGTGATATTTTGAAGTTTATTAAGAATGCTTTTTTTAACCTAGTTATAACTATTGTCTAATAATGTTTTTGTTATTTATTTATTTAGTTTTAGTTATTCTAGATGCTTTACTTGCTTTTATGAGGATATTCAGGAAGTTCTCATATTACACTGTCTCCCTACTCATCTTCCTACTCTTCAGTATTTATGTACTACTTGGGAGGATGAGGTACTTTAAAATACATTTCAAACTTGATTTTTGAAGTTAATCAAAATGAAGATAGAAGGAAGTTAACATAAGAAGCTGATAGTTCCTTATGGATGCCTTTTAAGTAATGTTTAAAATTGGTTCCTTTTTGGTTTTCTTCATGTGAAATTAAGTACTTGCAAGTGTCATTCTATCCCTCCACTTCCACATTCTCAACCAGCTGAATAGTACTCTCAGACTTAAAAATCAGAAGTAGGTTTACAATAATGGAATTTGGAATGATTGCTCAATGTGGCCAAACATAATGGAGGAGCTCATAATTGTATTTACTACCATATTATCATGTGCTAAAATTCTGATTTTAGCCCCTTCTTATTCTACAATTTGCAGTCCGATTTAATACATTGGCTGTCCATTGTCTAAATGGGATCCACAGATATGATTTCTTTAGACTATTCTGTATTTATTTATTGATTTGTAGTTAACTCGGCAGATACTTTATTTTTTTATAGTTTTACATAAATTTTATTGTATACATTTAAAGTATACAACATGGCGATATGGGATACATATAGACAGTTAAAAACATTCCCAGTTAGGCAAATTAACATACCCATCATCTCCCGTAGTTACCCATTTTTATTTTTGTGTCTGTGGCAAAATCAGCCTAAAATCCACTTATTCAGTATAATTCCCATATGCAGAATAATTTTATGACCCAGTATTCATTGTAAATCAGCTCTCTAGACCTATTCACCCTATATCTGTTACTTTGTGTTCTGACCTATTGTCTTCCCATTTTTCCTCCCCCAACCTCCCAATCACTCCTGTTAACCATTGCTTTAATCCATGTATTTGAATTTTAAAAAACTTATAAGAGAAATAGTACAATATTTTTGCAGCTGGCTTATTAGGATCATGTCCTCCAGGCTCATCTATGTTGTTGCAAATGACAAGATCTCATAATTTTTTATGGCTGAATAATACTCCATTGTATACATTTAGCAGTTTCTTTATCCATTCATCAATTGACACTTAAGTTGTTTCCATATCTTGGCTATTGTGCATAATGCTGCAATAAACACAGAAGTATAGATATCTGCATGAGGCAGTGATTTCATTTCCTCTGGATATCCATACAGAAAAGGGATTTCTGGATTGTGTGGAAGTTCTACTTTTAATTTCTTTAGAAAACTCCTGATCATTTTCTATAATAGTTGATCAGTATTTTAAAAACATACAAAATAGTTGCCAAAGCTTACAACCAAGTTTCACATACAAATGCAGATATCTGATTGATCTTAAAAAACCTGAAGCCCAGTGTCATAATGCCCACATTACGAAATGGAATTTGTATCCTGATTAAAGAGGCAATGCACTCTCAGGCTTGTGACACCTTTCATTTGTTACCTTCCAGTCCTGATAGACTTGGTAAATCATGGACAACTTCTTATATTGGCTTAAACTATAAACATGTACTGTTGATTTTTAAATGTTTCTATTTAGATATCCTACAGACTCACCAGAATCCACATATTCAAAACCAGCCTATTTTTTCTAAAACCTAATTTTCTTCCAGTGTTCCCTTAATGACCCAGTTAATGGAATTACATTTCTACAGCTGTCCAAATTAGAAAAATCCTTAGGGTTATTTTTCTTCTTTCTTCTTCCCTCTATGCACAGCTTTTAGGCATGTGTAAAACTGTGACCCACTTAAGTCTTTCTTTTACTGGTGTCTGTATATTAAATTCCTTTTTCTTCCTGATGTCTGGAAAACTCCTACTTACTTTACAAGATGGAGCAAAATCACTCAATCTTTGAAACTATGTTCTTTGTCTCAATAAACATTTAGTTGCTCTTTTCCATCTACAGATATCTCTAATACATTGCATATTTTACGTTGTTTATTTACTTCTGGCTCTTCTACTAGACTAGGAATTACTTAAGGACATAATGATTTAGCTATTTTTGTACCACCAGAACTAAGAAAAAAGCATGGAACTAGACAAATACATCAAATAAACATGAATTTTACAAATCAATGAGAATTGTTTCATGTCCAACGATTTCACCTTAAACTTTTTATATGATTCAATCTTTGGTTAAATTCAATTTTGTTTTCTTTTTTGCCCATACTTTTTTGGCACTTACTTTGGATTATTCTAGGGCCTGTAAATTTGTACCATAAGACTACAAATTAAATGATCAAGTAAAAATTAATTGACTCCATTATTAAAATATGAGGACTTTTTAATGACTTACAAAACTTTGTTTTAATTATCTAAGGATGCCAGGTATTACCTTTAAAAAAATGTGTAATTATTTATAAAACAGATCCCAGAGAGGCAACTGAACAGCTGTTGAAAGATCTGGCACATCACTGTGCCAGCCTGAATTTAATGACCTACATGTGAAGGGCTACATATCCAATTACTAATCCTCCCTCAGCTACTCTTTGCCCCGATATGGAGGCAGCTGAAAAAAGATGCCCTACTAACAGATCAGAAAATGAATCCAGATTTCATTGCCAATGTTCAGTTACAGAGATCTTTTAGATTTCAGATGAGGAAGAAACTGAGAGGGACTCACAATTATATTACAGCTCACATAGTTTTTCAAATAAATTTGAGAATTTAAAGCAAGAGTGACTTCAGTTTTGTGACTAAATTCAGAGACACTGAAATTATATTAGAGAACCTAAAATTCTGAATTTAACTTTCTATTCACTCAAGCCTTAAACACGTTCAAATGTCTTCAAACATCAAGGGAAAAATACTTCAGAGTTCCTTCTATATTAAGAAGGCCAATTTATATTCCAAGATTCAAACCTCATTTTTAATCTTCAAATTTTACAATAATCACCTATTAGAAGTAGGGTCAAATAAAAAAAAAATAGAAAACGACAATCCACAGGATTGAGTTTTGCTTCTCCCTCAGTTGACTTGGTCTATATATAGCAAAAAGATTATATAAGGTCAAGTAGTACAAACAATGAAACATCACCTGATGTTTTGCAAAATAGCACAGGAAAAATAGGTCAAAGAATGAATGGAGAGTAAAGCGTCTGTTTTTTTTTTTTCCCTTAAGCCATAAAAAAGGCTTAGAAATTCCAAATTTAAATGCATTTTTATTATGAATTTGACTCATTTCTTGAACTCTAATTTTCCACTTGAGTCATGTAAAATCATGCCACCCTGTTAACCTTTTTCTGTATAAAACAGACATAACTTAGGCAAGAGATGCTTTCCTCTACTCTTCAACACAAAACTAAGAATCCTTCGTCCGTACCGCATTTTTAATTTTTAAGAATGGGACTATCTTAAGCTCTCTACGCCGCCGAACACAAACAAAAATATGAATGAATAAATGCCCTTAAGTACACCTTTACTTCTTTAAGGGGAAAAACTGACGTCACCGTAACTACCTCCCACTCCCCAAATTCTAACTCCAAACCCCGATCGAATAAACCCCTCCTCCCGCCGCCAGCTGAGGCGGAAGTTAGCGCAGTTAAATGACGTATGACGTAATCGCCGTAGCCACCACCTGGTAACTCTCGCCTCTGCCTCTGGGAGTTGAAGTTTCCAAGGAGGACTCGCCCGCGGTATTGAGAGCACACAAGAGAGGCTTTCTGAACGAACTACTACGTTCCCCATCAACTCGGTTTGGTAAATCTCCTGGCACTGCGGCTGGCGCTCGCTTTCCCTTAGGTATCGTTCGGATACAAAAGGGAAGCATGCCATGCCACCCTCGAGTGGCAACAAGGGCTTCCGGGGTATGACGGAACGGACCTGTGCGAGTGGCCACAGCCATCCTGTTCCTGAAGGAAATTACGTTGGCTAGGGCGCGCCCTCGCGGCCTCCGCAGCTCTCTGATTCGCCGGCTGCATTTTAGTCCCGCCTCTCGGCTGCTAGCGCGGCTAACGGTGTAGATAAGGAGGGTGGACTGGGCTCTGCTGGCCTGCATTGGGGCGCTTTCCTTTCAAGTTATTTATGGGTGTGCGCCCGGTCCCTAGGATGCAAAGAGTGTGGTCTTACAAAAGATGACAGGAGAGAGAATATGGGACTCCGAAGGGCCGAAAAACGAGTTGTGGCAGTGCCACCTGTGGCTAGAGACCATGGGCGAGACGCTTAGTACCTCTTTACGCGTCCCTTTCTCTAGAGCTGACGTTGCTGAGCCCTCTGAAATTCAGGGAGCTCCAGGGGAAGTTGTTGATGCTGCTAAGCCCCATGGTGGTGAGCTGGGGACTATTAAATTGGCTTGATTTCACTGAAGCACGTTAAGAGTTTAAAATTGGGGAATTTTTCCAGAGAAATGTGGAGGGGATAGCGGCAGGTTACCTTCTCACCTATTAAAAACATTTCTTCTGAGGGAGATCTTTGGCCCTAGGGACTTGACATAGAAACAAAAGGCTTTTGCTACCACCGATTTGGTCAACATGTTTAAAGAAAGGTCTTTTACTGTTACGGTCAGGTCCTTAATTCCGTTGTGCAATTATTCCAATATTAGATCTTTCTTGAAGGGAGCTGCATTGTAAATTACGAAGACTTTTTAGTTGTTTGATAACACGTAATTTTTAAGATTTTCCTTTTGGCTTTAATTGATTTGTGAGGTGTATTCTCCCTGCTTTAACGGGGTGAGGAAATGTAAATATTGAGATGCCTTTTCACCTATTCCACCAAATACCTTAGTCACTTTTATCTAGTTCTTTCTCTTTTAAGCCCATCCGATAACCTGGATCTGTGAATTACCCACATTATTTTACGCTAAAACAAATTTCACACAAATATTTCTATAATTAAAATACCGTTCTTAAATATTTTTTGGACTTGGTTTAACGACTGAAAATATACTGTGAATATAACTGCGTGTCATAGAGGAACACAAAATTCTGCCATAGAAAATTTACAAATTATGACCCAAACCAAAACAATTAGGAAACGAGTAATTGTGCTATTTTTTCACAACAGGTAATCTGAACAAGCTAGTATGCAATGAAGTGATGGTCAGAGTTGGTTTATCTTTGTAAAGTCTACACAATAATTTTAATCAAGCTAGTATTTTTTTTTTTTTGCATTCCACTTATGTCTCAGTGTATCTATGTTTGAGGTTCAGAAAATTCACCTACTATAGTGCATTTTCTTAACGGAGAATAACTAAAGAAAGTGAATGATTATGATGACTAACTACTTCATGACCTTTTCTTGTTTTTGATAGGCTGTTTAAAAACATGACTATGCTGTGATAGGTCATGTTAAATTTAACGAGACTTATTAAATAGGAAAGGCAAAAGCTCCCTCTGGTGTACATGATTGTAAAACACTGCGTTAGGTTGCTTTTAACATTCCCACATTATAGAGCTCATCAACCCTTGAGTTTTTGAACAAAATAAAGAATTAGCCAATAGATGGAAAGTACTATAGAAATGTGCTCTTTTGGAATATTATTATTTTATGAAGAGCAATTTATTTCCTGTTATTTTAATTGTGCTTTTAAGTTTGCATGTTTAGTTTAACAGACCATGTTTTTCCACTCTTGCTTTGGGTAATATGCACTGCTGAATTTTATGTAATTCAGAGCATATGAAAAGAAGGTAAAATAAAAGTTGTCTTGGGAAATCACCCTCTATCTATCTATCTTTATGTATATTTAAAGTTTTCTTCTTTCTAATCTTTTTAGGTTCACTGAGTTTCTCCTGCCACCAGTTTCTTAAATTGAATACTAACATTATTTAACTTTTTTTAAAAAAAATAGTGGCATGGAAATGAAACTAGAGATTTTTTTCATCATATGTGACACAGGTCTCAAGAGGTCATCTATTGTCAGAGTTAACACAGCACAGTTCTTTTATGTTCTTTGGAACCCCTCATTTGTAAATAAGGCTTTGCATTACTGGGAGGTTACAGTAGAGTTAGGTTGGGTTTGAATCCAAACTCTAGCCCTTCATTTGTCTAATTATTCATCCAAGTATTGTGAGTATATACTTTGTGCTAGATTTGCTTGCAGTACTTTGTTTCTTAGGAATTATAGTAGCTTCGTAATTCTGGGCAAGTTATTGAGCCTCACTGTGCATTCTTTTTAAAGTAAGGATAAATAATACAGTCAACCTCATAGAGTTGTTTTAAGGAATGAATTAGATAACAATACATTACTATTACTATTTTCATTGCTTTTCTTTAAAATATATATATATATATTCACTCATTTATTTACTCCACCATTATATAATAAGCATCAACTAAGTACCAGCCACTATGTTACTGACATATTACAATGTTGCACATTGCTGTTGGGTTTATTTTTATTTTTATTTATTTATTTTTTTTTTGATCACTGAGCCACATCACCAGTGCTTTTTTAATATTTCATTTAGAGACAGGGTCTTGCTCAGTTGTTTAGGGCCTCACTAAGTTTCTGAGGCTGGCTTTGAACTTAAACTTCTCCTGACTCAGCCTCCTGAGCTACTAAGATTATAGGCATATGCCTCCATACCCATCCAGTGTTGCACTTTTTAAAGAAAGCAAAAACCACATAATAAAACTACTGCCTAAATTATGCTCTGCAAATATTTTATCCTTTAATTATCTAAATTGTGGGATTTTTTTTTTCTTTTAGTTAGTAGCTTCTCCATATAGACTTATTAGCAAGCTTTGTAAGAAGGAAGAATCGTTTCCTTAATGATACATTTACCTTAATTCCAATAGAAATTTAGTAGTATCATGCTCATTCATTGGTATGGATAAATAATAATTACGGTTTTAAGCTTCAGTGTTACTAATCTATTAAATAGAAAAGAAATATCAGTATTCTAGCCTTTCCTTAATCTGAAAGCAAGTTCAATTTTAGTTAATAGGTATAGTTAATAGGTAAAGATGTATTTGGCATCATCCTAAAGCATTCCACAAAGCCATACTGATTACAGAGTCAACTTTCATGTTTTGTTTTTTAGTCAAGACTAAAGTGGAGGATTTACATATTTACAGTGAAATATAGTGAAGGGGGCAATGTTGTCTGTACTGTCCAAAATTTATAAATCTTATAACAACTTCTGTCTAAAACTTAGTGTGAGTATACAACCAGATAAAGAAATACCATTCTGTTTCCCTCATTCTGCAGCATTGAGGATTACAGGATGATGTTTTTCCAACTCTTTTTAAAAATAATATTTTTCTTTTATAAAAACAATGTATTTTCATTATAGAAAACCATGAGTAAGAATTAAACGTGTATGTGCATACTTTTAAAAATGATTGGATGTGATGGATACATTGGTTTTTGTTTTGTTTTCTTATTTAAAGTATTATAACCATTTTCCCTTATCAATAAGTAATTTTGGAAATGTGATTATTACTGTTTAGTAATCCTAGTCTGTGTTATAGATGAGTGATAATTTTTTTATTCTCCTTTTGCAGGCATTCAAGTGTTTTCTAACTTTTCATTATTAAAATAACACAGCAGTGTGTACACTCTGGTGAATCTTTGCATGTACACTTCTGATTCATTTACAGGAACTTATCCTAAGAAAATTAATTACTTGATTGAAGTAATTGAAGGGTCTCAATTTGTTAAAGATCTTGTATTACCTTCTGGAAAAATCGTGTGATAACTACCAATATTATATTAAAATACCCCATTTCTTTAGACCTTTACCAGCATTTCCAATGAATGATAGTTAATTGGTATTAAATGACAGTTAAATGATTTTTGCAAATAAATGACATTTAATTATCTAAATTTACATTTGTATTTTTACTGATATAGTTTAACAATTATCATCAATAATTTTAATTTTAATCACATGTATTAGTTATTACTTCATGTGTTTGTAAATTATCTGTTCATGTAAAAATTGCTTTTCAGTTTTTCAGAAACACCAACATAATGTCATCTGAAACGTCATCAGCATTTATTGAGACTTCTAATGTTGAAAGGAAGCAAGACTTAACTGAAGATCAGGAAAAAGAGAAACCAAGACTAGATGAAGGGATTGAACCAGTATCTAAACGACAAATGAAGAAGCTAATAAAACAGAAACAATGGGAAGAACAACGAGAACTTCGCAAGTACGTGTTTCAAATTATGTATGCTCTACCTTATTCAGAAATGTGGAATATTAGACCTTAATATATTAAAACTAATTGTGTTAATCAAAATTGAGGTTCTGCATATTTTTTGTTAAAGACTTGTCAATTGACTTAAAAATTATATGTGTCTTGAATTAAATTATATTTTTTGGCACTATTGATGAACTTGCACTCTACACTTTTCTCGTCCAGAATCTTTTATGAGTAGCAGTATAGTTTCTGAAACAACTAATATAGATAAGGAATATAGTTAGTATCCATGTCCTAGATATGGAATAAAAATAATCTAATTCCAAGTGATCAAATTTTGTCCCAATATTTATGTTGCTAGAATAAGTTTTTATAAAAGCATTTAGGCTACAGGTATTGCATAATACCAACATATGTAAGATAAAATAAACTATAGTTGATATGGAGAAAAATTGAGTTTTTTTTAAAAAGGAACCATTTTCCTTTTTTCTGTACTTTTTGATTGTTACTTGAAAATAATGTAGGTAAAATATAGTAAACCATGTAGTAAAATCCATCATAACTCATATTTATTATTTTTAAAATCTTCTTAAGGATAATGTGATGCTAATGATAAATGAAACTGTTGACAAGTAAGTATAGTTAGGATTAGATTAAAAGCTTTAAATTATGCAATCATTTCCTTCCTATATAAAGCTATTACATGGACTACATAAAGTTGCTCATACTTGACCATTTTTGACCTGTGAAAGTGGTAAATTTCATACGATTTAACTTTAAAAAAATTTGTCTTTAAGAACAGTCTTGTGAATATTTAAATATATAAATAACAAAGTTGTTTCAATTACTAATTTTAGACAAAAGCGGAAAGAAAAACGCAAGAGAAAGAAATTAGAGCGACAGTGTCAACTGGAATCAAACTCAGATGGAAATGACAGAAAACGTGTTCGAAGACATGTTGTTCACAGTACACTCCGCCTTATCATTGACTGTAGTTTTGATGATTTGATGGTATTAAAGGTATCATGAATCATTGTCAGAAAAATCGTGTAGATGACCTAGGTTGAATCTCCTTATTTAAATGCATAATATTTCTGATATAAATGTATGTGTAAAGTACATCTTAAGTCAAATTTTCAAAATCTTTTCCTTTTCACTTAAGTTAATAAATTGCTTTGATATATTGTTCCTATTTATGTGCATGTTTTTTGTGTATATATAGATCGAGAGAGACACACATTTCATAATTATGTAAGAATCAGTATTTGTGTACATAATTATATAAGAGTCAGTAAAGATTTGTGGGCTTTTACCAATGCCATTGGTAAAGCATGAAAATAGTAATTCCATGGCTCTTAAAAGAGTTTTTTATTGTTTATGAAGAAAAGTAGATGTTTTTCATGAACTAGCATTTTATATGGATACAAAATAAATATAATGTGTCACTTATAGATTATTTACTTATAATAATTTTGTTAGTATGTAAGAAAATCAGTGAAAATTGTCAAAATTGATTTGTATTTAAGGACAAAAAAATCCCTTCTATTTATTCTATTTCTTTAGCATCATGGAATAGCTATAGATGATTTTGATAACTATTTTTAAAAATTTTTTTCTTTTCTAGGACATTAAGAAACTTCATAAGCAGATCCAACGATGCTATGCAGAAAACCGACGAGCACTGCATCCTGTGCAGGTATGTCTGAAGAATTTTTAAAAAGACCAGTTTTCTTTTCAGTTGTTCATGACAAAAACATAGATAATTCCAGTTGCCTTTGCAAGTCTTATGGGTAATCTTGTTTAAAGCTTTTTTGAAAAATATTTTCTTTTTGTAAAAAAATAAAATACTTTAAACATCTTTTCTTCTGAATCATTCTCAGACACACTTTTTAGTCATTAGTCTTGTACATGTTGACCTGTTCATTGCTGTGTAATTGAGTATCTTCATTATTGGACATGCCCTTATTTTTATACCATTTTCTCAGCTTTCAACTTCTTGAAATTCTGGGAGGCAAAAAGGGGCTTGAGGGAGAGATTGCCCTTACCCAGTGTGAGCTGTGGTACCCGTTTTAGATTTTGTCTACTTAAAGAACTTTCTTTTCCTTTTGAGATGCTCATAATTTTAAAAAGTATTTAAGCTGGAGTGAGGGAATGATTTATACAACTAGTTTGTTGATGACAAGAACAGAATCCTTTTTTTTGAATTCTAGATAACCTAAAAATTAACACTGACTCACTAATGTTAAGAAGCAGGAACTTTTAATACATTTTTTATTGATATTTTATCCTTTTAACAAGTGAGTAGTTTATATTTTTGCATTTTTATTTTTCATAATTTTTATTACACTTCTGTGATAGTTTTTATATTCTCATTTTTGTCCATAATAGACACCTTATTACCTTTGATTCAGATTGACAATAGGTGTAGGGTTTAGAACCAAAGAAAATCGTGAAGATTTTGGATTGATTTAAAGGAAAAAAAATTAAAAAACAACAATGGTGGCCAAAAAAAGGAGGGGATGGTGAGAATGACATGGAAGAAGGAAGTTTGCAGACATGATTGTTACTGGAGAGGCAGGTTATAACTAATTAAAAAAGAAGTGCGATAAAAATGTAAATTGAATGCTGAAGTTGTTGGGTTAGAAGATACACCCATAAAACACGTAATTTCTACCATGAATTTCTTGTATGCTCAAAGTTTGTCACGAATTATTTTTTTCTGCGTCAATGAGAATATATCTTGTGTTTCATTAGTGAGCAGATGAACATAAGAGGGAAATAAAATATTGGACTTAAATTATCATTTTTTTCTCTTTCCCTGCCTACCAATCCCTTATCAGTTTTACTTGACAAGCCATGGAGGCCAACTAAAAAAGAACATGGATGAAAATGACAAAGGATGGGTCAACTGGAAGGTAATTAAAGCAGATCAACTCTCCCACAATTACAAGTGTTCTTATTCTTCTAAAGTTCTACATTTTTTTGTCTAAAATTTAAATAATATTATATATATATCATATTTCAAACCCTGTAGGTCATTGAAGCTAAATCTAAAGTTGCAGATGGGAAATGCTAAAGAAGAGATTTATATGTTAACTTGTATTTGTTCTCATTAAGTCTTGCCTGCTATTTTACCATCAATCTTAAAACATATTTTTCAAAAAAGGAAAAGTTTTAAAGGTCTTTATATAACTTTTCCCTAGAAAACTAGCTATGCATTATTGGTAAGAATGAGGCCACTTTAAAATTTGAAGAGTGCCTGCATTCTATTTCTTTTAATCTGTGCTAATATGTGACCTCTAGTCATATGTGACTATTGAATACTTCAGTGGGGTAGTCTGAATTGTGAATTGAGATGTGCTGTAAATATGAAATACATACAAGATTTCAAAGACTTAGTAACAGATACAGATCTGCCTAATTTAAGAAATGTTTATTGATAATATTATGGGCATATTGGTTTAATAAAATATTTTAAATTAATATCACCTGGGTTTTTTTCCTTCAGTTTTTAAAATGTGACTACTAAAATTGTGTGGCTCATAAATTTTTCTGTTGGACAGACTGTTCTCACTCAATTTGTAAAGATGTAAATAGATTGACTTTAGTATCAATCCCTAAGGAACTTTTTTATTCAAAGAAGTAGCAGCCTATTCCTATACTTTTTAAGTTTTTATAGTGATAAACTTTCTCTGTCATGCTTATTACATAATGGCTGCATTTATTTTCTTAATACCCTATGATATGAACATTTTCAAAGTCTGTTTAAAGAGTATTCTGTCAAACTTCAAATATTTTTGGATAGGATTGTTTTGGGAAAAGAGGATAATCATTTTTATCCAACTTTCACAAATCCTATTAATTAGTAACATCTTTCCCTTTGCCTTAAAAGGATATCCACATCAAACCAGAGCACTATAGTGAACTCATGAAAAAAGAAGACCTGATTTATCTTACATCAGATTCACCTAATATACTAAAGGAATTAGATGAATCAAAGGCATATGTGATTGGAGGATTAGTGGATCATAATCATCATAAGGTACTGTTAAGTTTTATTTTTGGTTTTGCTTGTACTTAAAAATCCATATTTCAGAGTTTCTTCATCATAACAAAACTACTAATAAATAATAGCTGATCTTTCTAAGAATTTCACATTTATTATCTTACTTAACCCATAATACCACCCAATGAAGTCAGTGCAATTAGTATCATCATTTCACAGATGAGGAATCTGAGACACAAAGAAATTAATCTTAAAAGCAGTAGTGATTGGTGTCAAAGCAAATTACTTGAAACAAGACAGACCGCTGCAGAGTCTGTGTGCTTAAGCACTATGCTGTATTGGGAAAAGATACTGTCTCAGTTTCTAAAAGAAAATATCATTTTGTATTTTGCCAGCTTCTTTCCATGCTGAATTTAACCCAGCTAAGGAAAAAGCATGTTTACTAAGTGTCTGAGGAAATACTCTCATTAGTCATGAACTAATTCTTTATTCTTGAAAAGCAGCACTGTGTAGGTATAACTTTATGCAGCATTGGAAATAATCATATCTGCTTGCCCAATATGTAATTGTGTCACTGTTGGGTACTTTATACAGTATGACTGAGGAACTGAATTTTTGTGTGTGTGTGTGTGCGCGTGCTTATCATCTGGGTATTACCATTATTTTAAAAAAATTTATTCTCATTTGTTATATATGACAACAGAATGCATTTCAATTCATATTACACATATAGAGCTCAAATTTTCATATCTCCGGTTGTACACAATGTAGAGTCCCACCATTCATGTTTTCATACATGTACTTAGAGTAATGATGTCCATCTCATTCCACTGCCTTTCCTACTCCCATGCCCCTTCTCTTCCCCTCCCTCCCCTTTGCCCTGTCTAGAGTTTGTCTATTCCCCCCATACTCCCCACCCTGATCCCCATTATGAATCAGCATCCTTATGTCAGAGAAAACATATGGTATTTGTTGTTTTGGGATTGGCTTACTTAAAATTATATTCTCTAACTCCATCCATTTACCTGCAAATGCCATGATTTTGTTCTCTTTAATGCTGAGTAATATTCCATTGTGTATATATACCACATTTTGTTTATTCATTCATCTACTGAAGGGCATCTAGGTTGGTTCCACAATTTAGCTATTGTGAATTTTGCTGCTATAAACATTGATGTGGCTATGTTCCTGTAGTATGCTGTTTTTAAGTCCTTTGGGTGTAGACCGAGGAGAGGGATAGTTGCATCAAATGGTAGTTCCATTCTCATTTTTCCAAGGATTCTCTGTACAGCTTTCCATATTGGTTGCACCAATTTGCAGTCCCCACCAACAGTGTATGAGTGTGCCTTTTTCCCACATCCTCACCAACACTTATTGTAGTTTGTATTCTTGATAGCTGCCATTCTGACTGAAGTGAGATGAAATTTTAGAGTAGTTTTGATTTGCATTTCTTTAATTATTAGAGATGAGTAACTGAATTTTAAAAATTGTAATCAATTTAAATTTTAAGTAGTCAGATATAGTTACCAAATAGTCCAGTTTTTAAAAAAATATGTGTTACATTTATTGAAAGAGTGATAGTACTTCCCTCAGAATTTTGTATATTTTAAACTGAGAGAAGGGAGGGGATCCAACATGGCGGCGAGAGGGGAGGCAGCGCTTTCAGTACCTCCTCAACAACGGGATCAGAGAGACGCATGGATACACTTAGATTCGACCTGCTGAGAAACTCCTAGCAAAATTCCACTAAAGAGAGACCAGCCGGGAATTGGAAGGATTTTTGGAGGTGACAGTCTGCGCGAGACGAGTGAATCTCCGCCACGCAGCGCAGAGGTCCAGACCCGCCAGCCGCTGCCCGCGCGACTGTCGGCTGCCTGCATGCGGCCCCCGCGTCAGGGCGGATAGCCTCCGAGGCGCAGCGCAGCAGGAGCGGTGCAGGGACTCTAGGAAGAGGTCTCTCGCCAAGCCTTCATGAAATAGCAAATCGGGAGCTGAAACCAACCAGAGACAGACCAGTCCCACCCCTCCCTTTGGACACTCCGGCAAGGAGCCTGGGGCCCGCCATAGCAGAGTGGTGACATCACCAGAGTTCCGCCGACAGAATTCCTTCCCAGCGGAATCCACATTAGCAGGTGTGTGACTCCCGCCCCCTCCAGATACAAGCAGCCGGGGGCGTGTCTGTAGGGAAGCAGAGGGGATTCCAGATCCCCACCTCCCCTTAACACCAGCGGCGACACCCAAGATCTTAGCCGCCACTTTCTGGGGGCGTGCCCACCAAAGGGGTCCGGAAAAATTAAACTGTTGGTTCCCAGATCACCCCACCACAGCACTGGGGCTTAATTGAATGACAGAGAGGGTGTTCATCGTTCAGGATATAGGACACGCGGTGGGGCTGCAAGTGTAATCAGATCCTTGGGGAACCGCCTCTGGTGAACAGGACCTGGCTGGCTGGCTGGGAGGAGGAACAGGGGGAGGGGTCGGATAAGTGAAAGGGCTCTGGACTAACAGGATTGAGAGACTCCCAGGAGCCACCGTACAGGGATTTCTGTCAGCACATAGAGGGCAGAAGCTCGGCTCAGAGGGCACAGCTCCGCCTATTGGAAGAGAAGAAAATGGGATTCAGCCATAGAACAGGGGATGCCAGCATTCCAGAGATCTGATGTCATCGGAGAGCGGCCGAGGAGAAAACTTCATCGGTGCCAGCGGCGACGGAAACAGTTGGTCCCCTGGTAGGGAGGGTGAGTCACAGATACCCGAGTCTCTCTCGCTTTGTCGTCGAGCCAGAGGGGAGGAGCGGGGCCGCCGCCCGCGCCCGCAAGGTAGGCAGACCTGCGACCAACCTGCAGATCAGGCCCAGCGGTCTTCAGGCATGGTAGGAGGGGCAGGGCAGAGCCACCGCCCACGCCGGCAAGGTAAGCAGACCTGCGACAGACCGGTGGATCAGGGCCAGCGGCCTGCCAGCGTGGTACACACTTCACCCCAACTGGAGTAGGGGCAGAGCAGAGCCTTCGCCCGTGCCCAGATCAGGCCCAGCGGCCCGCCTGTGTGGTGGTCAAGTGACCCCAATTGGAGTGGGGGCGGAGCGGAACTGACACCCGTGCCCGCAAGGTGGGCAGACCTGCGACCAACCTGCAGATCAGGCCTAGCGGTCCCTGGGCGTGGTAGGAGGGGCAGGGCAGAGACTTCGCCCCCACCTGCAAGGTAGGCAGACCTGCGACAGAACGGCGGATGAGGCCCAGGGGTCCGTGGGCGTGGTAGACACCTCACACCAATTGGAGGAGGGGCAGAGCAGAGCCCCCGCCCGCACCTGCAAGGGAGACTTTTCAACTATACAAGAGCAATATAAATATATAGGGGGGGAAAAAATTTCAAAAACACAACAGTTTCACCAAGAAGAAAGAAATGCAAGCAGTATGAAAAGACAAGGAAAGAAAGGACTACAAGCAATGCAGGTCAGCTCAACTTTAGAAGAGGTAACAGCTGCAGCAGATGGAATGTCAGATAAAGAATTCAGGATATATATGCTTCAGATGATCTGGAGTATCAAGGAAGAAATTAGACAGCAAAATCAGACAATGAAAGATCACTTCGACAAGGTATTACACAAACAAATCCAGGAAGCAAAGGATCAATTATACAGGGAGATAGAGGTTATAAAAAAGAAACAAACAGAAATCCTAGAAAAGCAGGAAGCAATAAACCAACTTAAAAACTCAATTGAGAGTACTACCAGCAGAGTAGAACACTTAGAAGATAGAACATCAGACAATGAAGACAAAGTATTTCAACTTGAAAAGAACATAGACAGCTCAGCAAGACTGTTAAGAAACCATGAGCAGAACATGCAAGAAATATGGGATAACATTAAGAGACCAAACTTAAGAGTCATTGGGATACAGGAAGGTATAGAACTCCATACCAAAGGAATGAGCAATTTATTCAATGAAATAATACGAGAAAACTTCCCAGACTTGAAGAATGAGACAGAATCCCAAATTCTAGAAGCCTACAGGACGCCGAATGTGCAAAATTATAAGAGATCCACACCTAGACACATTCTAATGAAGATGCCCAACATACAGAATAAGGAGAGAATTTTAAAAGCTACAAGAGAAAGGAAGCAGATTACATTTAGGGGCAAGCCAATCAGGATAACAGCTGATCTTTCAACACAGACTCTGAAAGCTGGAAGATCCTGGAATAACATATTTCAAACACTGAAAGAAAATGGGTTCCAACCAAGAATTGTGTATCCAGCGAAATTAAGCTTCAGGATGGAAGATGAAATTAAAACCTTCCACGACAAACAAAAGTTAAAAGAATATGCAGCTAGAAAACCATCTCTTCAAAACATCCTCGGCAAAACATTACAGGAAGAGGAAATGGAAAATAACAATGAAAACCAACAGTGGGAGGTAGGACAGTAAAGTGGGGGGGGAATAATCAAAGAGGAAAACAAACCATGTTTAGTAACATAAATAAACAAATATGGCTGGAAGAACAACCCATATCTCAATAATAACCCTAAATGTTAATGGCTTAAACTCACCAATTAAGAGACACAGGCTAGTAGAATGGATCACAAATCAAGACCCAACAATATGCTGCCTACAGGAGATGCATTTGATAGGAAAAGACATACATAGACTGAAGATGAAAGGTTGGGAAAACTCATATCACTCATATGGACTTCAGAAACAAGCAGGAGTGTCCATACTCATATCAAATAAAATAGATTTCAAGCCAAAGTTAATCAAAAGGGATAAAGAGGGACACTACATACTGCTTAAGGGAACCATACACCAACAAGACATAACAATCATAAATATATATGCCCCAAACAATGGTGCAGCTATGTTCATCAAACAAACTCTTCTCAAGTTCAAGAGTCTAATAGACCACCATACAATAATCATGGGAGACTTCAACACACCTCTCTCACCACTGGACAGATCTTCCAAACAAAAGTTGAATAAGGAAACTATAGAACTCAATAACACAATTAATAACCTAGACTTAATTGACATATATAGAATATACCACCCAACATCAAGCAGTTACACTTTTTTCTCAGCAGCACATGGATCCTTCTCAAAAATAGATCATATATTATGTCACAGGGCAACTCTTAGACAATATAAAGGAGTAGAGATAATACCATGCATCCTGTCTGATCATAATGGAATGAAACTGAAAATCAACGATAAAAGAAGGAAGGAAAAAGCATACATCACTTGGAGAATGAACAATAGGTTACTGAATGATCAATGGGTTATAGAAGACATCAAGGAGGAAATTAAAAAATTCTTAGAGATAAATGAAAACACAGACACAACATATCGGAATCTGTGGGACACATTGAAAGCAGTTCTAAGAGGAAAATTCATTGCTTGGAGTTCATTCCTTAAAAAAAGAAAAAAACCAACAAATAAATGATCTCATGCTTCATCTCAAAATCCTAGAAAAAGAAGAGCAAAACAACAGCAAAAGAAGTAGAAGGCAAGAAATAATTAAAATCAGAGCTGAAATTAATGAAATCGAAACAAAAGAAACAATTGAAAAAATTGACAAAACTAAAAGTTGGTTCTTTGAAAAAATAAACAAAATCGACAGACCCTTAGCCATGCTAGCGAAGAGAAGAAGAGAGAGAACTCAAATTACTAGCATACGGGATGAAAAAGGCAATATCACAACAGACACTTCAGAAATACAGAAGATAATCAAAAATTATTTTGAATCCTTATACTCCAATAAATTAGAAGATAGTGAAGGCATCGATAAATTTCTCAAGTCATATGATCTGCCCAGATTGAGTCAGGAGGATATAGACAACCTAAACAGACCAATATCAATCGAGGAAATAGAAGAAACCATCAAAAGACTACCAACTAAGAAAAGCCCAGGACCGGATGGGTATACAGCAGAATTTTACAAAACCTTTAAAGAGGAACTAATACCAATACTTTTCAAGCTACTTCAGGAAATAGAAAAAGAGGGAGAACTTCCAAATTCATTCTACGAGGCCAACATCACCCTGATACCTAAACCAGACAAAGACACTTCAAAGAAAGAAAACTTCAGACCAATATCTCTAATGAACCTAGATGCAAAAATCCTCAATAAAATTCTGGCGAATCGGATACAAAAACATATCAAAAAAATTGTGCACCATGATCAAGTAGGATTCATCCCTGGGATGCAAGGCTGGTTCAATATACGGAAATCAATAAATGTTATTCACCACATCAATAGACTTAAAAATAAGAACCATATGATCACCTCGATAGATGCGGAAAAAGCATTCGACAAAGTACAGCATCCCTTTATGTTCAAAACTCTAGAAAAACTAGGGATAACAGGAACATACCTCAATATTGTAAAAGCAATCTATGCTAAGCCTCAGGCTAGCATCATTATGAATGGAGAAAAATTGAAGGCATTCCCTCTAAAATCTGGAACAAGACAGGGATGCCCTCTCTCACCACTTCTGTTCAACATAGTTCTCGAAACACTGGCCAGAGCAATTAGACAGACGAAAGAAATTAAAGGCATAAAAATAGGAAAAGAAGAACTTAAATTATCACTATTTGCAGATGATATGATTCTATACCTAGCAGACCCAAAAGGCTCTACAAAGAAACTATTAGAGCTAATAAATGAATTCAGCAAAGTGGCAGGATATAAAATCAACACGCATAAATCAAAGGCATTCCTGTATATCAGCGACAAATCCTCTGAAATGGAAATGAGGACAACCACTCCATTCACAATATCTTCAAAAAAAATAAAATACTTGGGAATCAACCTAACAAAAGAGGTGAAAGACTTATACAATGAAAACTACAGAACCCTAAAGAGAAATAGAAGAAGATCTTAGAAGATGGAAAAATATACCCTGTTCATGGATAGGCAGAACTAACATCATCAAAATGGCGATATTACCAAAAGTTCTCTATAGGTTTAATGCAATGCCAATCAAAATCCCAAAGGCATTTCTTGTAGAAATAGAGAAAGCAATCATGAAATTCATATGGAAAAATAAAAGACCTAGAATAGCAAAAACAATGCTAAGCAGGAAGTGTGAATCAGGCGGTATAGCGATACCAGACTTTAAACTATATTACAGAGCAATAGTAACAAAAACAGCATGGTACTGGTACCAAAACAGGCGGGTGGACCAATGGTATAGAATAGAGGACACAGAAACCAATCCACAAAACTACAACTATCTTATATTTGATAAAGGGGCTAAAAGCATGCAATGGAGGAAGGATAGCATCTTCAACAAATGGTGCTGGGAAAACTGGAAATCCATATGCAACAAAATGAAACTGAATCCCTTTCTCTCGCCATGAACAAAAGTTAATTCAAAATGGATCAAGGAGCTTGATATCAAATCAGAGACACGCCGTCTGATAGAAGAAAAAGTTGGCTACAATCTACATACTGTGGGGTCGGGCTCCAAATTCCTCAATAGGACACCCATAGCACAAAAGTTAATAACTAGAATCAACAAATGGGACTTACTCAAACTAAAAAGTTTTTTCTCAGCAAAAGATACAATAAGAGAGGTAAATAGAGAGCCTACATCCTGGGAACAAATCTTTACTCTTCACACTTCAGATAGAGCCCTAATATCCAGAGTATACAAAGAACTCAAAAAATTAGACAATAAGAGAACAAACAACCCAATCAACAAATGGGCCAAGGACCTGAACAGACACTTCTCAGAGGAGGACATACAATCAATCAACAAGTACATGAAAAAATGCTCACCATCTCTAGCAGTCAGAGAAATGCAAATCAAAACCACCCTAAGATACCATCTCACTCCAGTAAGATTGGCAGCCATTAGGAAGTCAAACAACAACAAGTGCTGGCGAGGATGTGGGGAAAAGGGTACACTTGTACATTGCTGGTGGGACTGAAAATTGGTGCAGCCAATTTGGAAAGCAGTATGGAGATTTCTTGGAAAGCTGGGAATGGAGCCACCATTTGACCCAGCTATTCCCCTTCTTGGTCTATTCCCTAAAGACCTAAAAAGAGCATGCTACAGGGACACTGCTACTTCGATGTTCATAGCAGCTCAATTCACAATAGCAAGACTGTGGAACCAACCCAGATGCCCTTCAATAGACGAATGGATTAAAAAAATGTGGCATTTATACACAATGGAGTATTACTCTGCATTAAAAAATGACAAAATCATAGAATTTGCAGGGAAATGGATGGCACTAGAGCAGATTATGCTAAGTGAAGCTAGCCAATCCCTAAAAAACAAATGCCAAATGTCTTCTTTGATATAAGGAGAGTAACTAAGAACAGAGTAGGGACGAAGAGCATGAGAAGAAGATTAACATTAAACAGAGATGAGAGGTGGGAGGGAAAGGGAGAGAAAAGGGAAATTGCATGGAAATGGAAGGAGACCCTCAGGGTTATACAAAAGAACATACAAGAGGAAATGAGGGGAAAGGGAAAAATAATACAAGGGGGAGAAATGAAGGTCAGTAGAGGGGGTAGAGAGAGAAGAGTGGTGGGGAGGGGAGGGGAGGGGGGATAGTAGAGGATAGGAAAGGTAGCAGAACATGACAGTCACTAGTATGGCAATATGTAAATCAATGGATGTGTAATTGATGTGATTCTGCAATCTGTATATGGGCTAAAAATGGGAGTTCATAACCCACTTGAAGCAAAGTGTGAAAGATGATATATCAAGAACTATGTAATGTTTTGAACAACCAACAATTAAAAAAAATTAAAAAAAAAATAAAAATAAACTGAGAGAAGGGTAATAGGCAGTGATGAAGGTAGTGAAAAGAGAGCCAGATTTTTCTTGTGGTTCTGCCATCGAAAAGCTTTGTAACTGGGCAGGACATATAATTTCTTTGGTTTCTTTATTTGTAAATAGTAATGTTAAAACAAATGCTTTAAATATCCTAATTGTCAAGAGAATATTTCCAAATTAGTAGTTATACATACACATCCTTCAGATAATATTCTTTGAACTAAAGTCTTCTTTAAAAATTATACTGTTATGGACTTTAAAATAATTTAATGTTCTAGTCCTAATTCACACTGTCTTTGTTCTAGGGAATCACATATAAACAAGCATCAGATTTTGGAATTCATCATGCACAGCTCCCCCTTGGAAGTTTTGTGAAGATGAATAGTCGAAAAGTTTTGGCAGTTAATCATGGTAAGGTATAGGGGGTACTAAGAAGATACATCAGCGCACATTTTGAAAAAGAGCATAACATTAAGATTTGAACAAATAGAAAATATTAATCCTTGTTGGAGAACAAAAATTATAAAGAGTAACCATTTATGATTTGTTTAACTAATAGAAAAATTATGCATATTTTAGAAAATTTTGAAAGTGTAACAAAGTACAAGAACAATTAGTTGTAGTTTTACAACTTGATATTAACTTTTTGGTGTGTTTTCTTCCAGTTCTTTGCCTGTGCATTTATAATATTTATTATATAATTGGATTCCTACGGTAGGACAATGTTATTAATCTCTTTTCTTCTTATTTTAGTCAGCTTTTTAGCTGCTGTGACCAAAATACCTGATAAAAATAATCTTAGGAGGAAAAGCTTATTTGGGGGAATAAGGAATCGAGCTGGTTTCAGAGGTTATAGTCTGTAGACAGCCAGCTTTATTCCTTGGTCAGAGGAAAGGCAGCCATCATGGCAGAAGTGTGTGGCAGAGGAAAGCAACCGGGAACTTTGTACTAGGAAGCAAAGAGAGAAACAGACCTCTCCTCTCACCTAGGACAAAATATATACCCCAAAGGCATGCCCTAGTGACCTGCCTCCTCCAGCCATATCCCACTTGCCTACAGTTATCACCCAGTTAATCTCTACCAGGGGATTAATGCACTGGTTAGGTCAAGGCTTTCCTAATCCAGTCATTTAACCTCTAAATTTTCTTGCATTTCTCTTACTTGAGCTTTTAGGGGACACACAACATTGAAACCATAATACCCCTCATCTATTTGTGGCTATATAACATTCCAACATTTCAGTGTGTGGTAACTTAACCATTTTCTTATTGTTGAATTATTTTATTTTTCTTTTTTTCTATCGTGAATAACATTTTTTTAAAATTTTTTATTCTAATTTGTTATATATGAAAACAGATGCATTACAATTCATATTACACATATAGAGCACAATTTTTCATATCTCTGGTTGTATACAAAATATATTCACAACATTGGTGTCTTCATACATATACTTAGGATAATGATGTCCATCTCATTCCACTATCTTTCTTAGACCTAAGTCTTTGCCTAGAGTTTTTATTTTTAAATATTTTTTAGGAACCCTAAATACTTTCTATATAGCAGGCTTTGGAGGGTTATAGAAATGAAATTATTGATTCAAGGAATGAACTTCTTCTAACATTTTTGATACATAATAGAAATTACTTTTCCAAAAAGTAATCTAAATTAACCCTTCATCTCTGTGTTGAAAAGAGAGTTCTTAGAGACAATATTGATATTCTTTACTCCTAAGAAACAAAACAACAACAAAAAAAATCAGGCAAGAAGTTCTTTGTAGGAAAGAAGAAATTTAGATGAATGCTAAACATTTGTTTTTAGTTGTATATTACATAAAGGATAAAGAAACAAAGAGAAAAAAAAGAGTAGGAAGGAAACTAAAATGGTCCTTGGTTATAATTGACAAGGGATATTGCTTAAGCTTTTGTGTGCTTAAGAACCAAATTGAGGAAAAGCTGAAAAGGAAGCAGTGGGTTTGAGAACCTTGGAACATATTGCCCCTGATAGCCAAAGGAGAAGGAAGAAATAAGAATAAACTTGTTAATAGGACAAGCTAGCTTTGTTAACACAAAAGGAGTGTGTTTTTAAAGATAATATTAACGTTATGATGAACTTGACTAAGAAATGTATGGTATTTTCTTTATTGCAGTATTTGAGATTATTCTGGGATACCTGGAAACAAGAAACTGGCAAGAAGCATTTTTTACTATCTTACCCCAGAGGAAAGGAGCTATTCCCACAGACAAAGCCTGTGAAAGTTCTTCCCAAGACAAGCAGTGTGCCATGGTTGAAGATGGATCGGACAGTGATTCCAGTGAAGAGGAATATAGCAAAAATGAAACAGAGTCACCACATAAAGATGAACAACAGGATAAGGAAAATAGCACTGAATCCACAATGCAATCTGCACCACACTAACATTACCTGTTTTTCTTTTAGTAAGGAAAAATTAGGAGAAAGTGAGGTGCTTCATAAAATATTCAAATTGGAAAAAAATTTATTTTCTCATTTATTTTGTGAATTTTAAAAACTCTTTAGAGCTAAATGGTGATGAAAAACCATTTAAACTCTAAGAATTTTTGTTTATGTATAAGACAACTTTGTGTTGCTTCTTAAATTACTTTTTAATCCTCAAATAAGAGTTTTAGAGAATTTTACTTTATTAGTATACCCTATTTCTCTTTTCTTTGTTGGAATATATTCTTCAGAATGTGCCTTCTGACCTATCAGTTCATATCAATGACCTTTATGTTTGTTTATATCAGTGTCTTTCTAATCTGTTGTGTATGTATTTTGGGGGGCAGATATTCATAAATGCCCTGTAATTCTATTAAAATGTTATATATGAGAGCTTATCTTCCATTTGCAGCTTTTACATCCAATTTATTTAGTTAAAAAATATCAATTTGCTACTTAATAATTCATTTCTTTTGGACTGTGGAGTGCACACCTGTGCTTCCTTTGTGGACTTTTCATGGTTCTGAAGTAATTACAAAATAGTAGAAAATCTCTTTAATTCATTTTCTTAATTCCTATAATGGTAACAAATTATTTCAGTTATAAAATCCAATTTTTGCAGGCAAGATTATTTTATAAGGCGGTTACTTTTGAAGGATCAATTTTGTCTTTACCTGATTTAAAACATAACAGTCCTTATGAGCTATCCTTTCCTTACATATATTTTTTTAAAAAAATATTTGTTGACTTTTAAGGTGAATATCGTGCATCTGTCTATCATATAAGAATATTCAAACTAACATAAATGTGTGTCTCTGTAAATAACGTGCATGTATAAAAATATGCGTGTAATGGTCTGTCTGTCCGCATGTATGGTTCTGTTATTAACTGATGAAAACAGACTGATTTGTATTATTTGTGTGGTTGCATTGAAAACACTAAGAGCAATTAGAATTTCATTAACACAAAAATCCATAACCAAACATTCATTTGGAAAAGTTGGCAAGGGAGCATGGAGCAAAAATGATCTGTTTTAGCCTCTAAATGGTGATTGTAGAGAAGTTGTATTTAAAATAAAGTGTTCTCTGTCACAGCTAAAGATGTCAAGTACCTTCACTGAGCTTTGGCAAAGTAAGTTTTTTTTTTTTTTTTTAAATATGTGAATGTTATACTTAACAATTACATAACATGTATAAGTTATATACATATTTAGTAGGAAGTTTATTATAGAATTGATGCTTCCTATTTTTGTTGCTTTATTCTTAAAAATCTTTTGTAGTTAAAGTAAAATCTGTAAGCAAGGTATGTCAATAAAGAAAAGCCCTATGCTTGTAAAAGAACAAAGCTCATGTTGTAATGTGTACTTTTCTGAAGTTCAAATTTTTCTGAGTAAATTTGGTTTGCTAGTATGAAATACGCCTTTTACTTAAACTATATCCTTATGGAATAGAGCACTATTTAATTATGAAAGGTAAAAAAAATCATTCAGGTATAACATAATTTTCATTAATTGTAAAGACATGCTGTATTTGTTTCCTTGGGGTGCCATAAGAAATCACCAGGAATTATGTGGCTTAAAACAGCAGCAGTTTATTCTGTAACCATTCCGGGCGCCAAAGTGTCACAGGGCTGTGCTTCAATTGCTCTAGAGAAGAATTCTTCCTAGCCCCTTGTTAGCAGCAATGCTTGGTGTTCCTCAGCTTGCAGTTGCATTATTCCAATCTGTCTTGTCAAATGGTCTTCTGTCCTCGTGTCCCATGTCTATGTCCAAACTTTTTTTTCTTAGAAGAACACTAGCATTGGTTTAGGTTCATTGTAATCCAATATGACCTTATCCTAACTTGACTATGTTTGCAAAGCCCCAGTTTCCAAATAAGATCACCTTCGTGGGTACCACATATTAGGACTTGATATATATTTTGGGGAGAAACAATTCTACCCATTACTACCCCATGTCTTATCTGGGCTATTGGTGAAAAGGCAGCAATGATTACCAATCAGTTATTTTGAAATAACTGATTTCTGAGGTACTTGAAAATCGGTTTAAGAATATTATTTAAAGCTTTTTCTCTCATTTTAATATATCCTTCCAATACTTTTTGGTTTATTTAGTGTATTATTAGTTAATAATATTAAAGTCACTTACATTGGGACTTAATAAAAGTAAGGAATTAATTTAATAAATAAATGTATCAAAAGGATATATGTCTGCTGAAATAATGGGATTTCTCCTCATTTAATTTCTTCAGTAAGTAACCTGTGGTCATCATAAACAAAGTTCATTTTTAAGGAGAGGAGCATTCTTTACATTGTTATTCCTGAGATCAGTGATTTGATATCTTGTACAATTTGAAAATGCTTAGAATGAAAAAGGAAAGTAATTCTACTGAAAAGAAAAAAAGTTTTTAGGAGATAAATACCCAGAGTGATGAAACCCACCAGTAACTGGCAACTATAAGGTAAAGTGATAATTAACTTTATAGATGGAAAGGATTACTGAGATGCTAGAGATAAAAGGCAAGAATTACACATAGACCACTGAGAACATGCAGACAACGGGTATAAAGTGAGATAAGAAAGGAAAAATGGGCAGAAGTGAATGACATATTATTAGAATTAATGATGGCAAAGGCCTGTATAGTCAAACTTTGGTCTCCTAAAGCATAGAGATTTATCTCTTTTCCTAGCTCATTGCCAGACACTTAACAATAGTTTTTCAATAAATGTGGAGAAGAAAATCAGTGACAGAATTGAGAGGGAGTATAGTTGATGTAAAGAATGGGGAATTCGATGAGGCTCAGACCTTGGCACTGCTACTTGTTAGCTGTGAGGCTTTGGCTAAGTTATACAGCCTTTTAAAATCTCAGTGTCCTTATTTATGAAGTAGGAATGTTACGTCAAAAACCCTTTTAGAGTTTGAGCAAACAATTGTGTTTTTAAGTGAGCAGTAGCTTATTTAATAAGTAGCATGGCAATGTATTTCTAATACTGACTTCCTCTCATTTCTTGTCTCATTGCCCTTTTTCTCACTCTTCCACCTTGACATTGGCCACACTAAAAAAATAGTAGTAAGTAGGCTTTTGTTTCAGGTTCTACTTTCTGAAGAACCCAAGCTTAGACAAGACTGAAAAACTATAAATGTTCTATTCTAAATGAATGCTCACTGAACAAAACAAATATAGATCATTTAGTGAAACACTTATAAAAGCAATAAAAACAATGCTAACAACAACAACAAAACATCTACACATGACCACATCTGTATGTCCTATCAGCAAATATAAGTGGCCTACAATGAGATTGGATTTTTATAAAGTTGATACATGCAGTATTTGAATAAAGTTAGTAATGTTGAAAAAAAAAAGATATAGCAGGCTAATGAAAAGAAGATAGAAGTCACAATCCTAGCATTGGGTAAGGTTCAGCACTTTATAAATAAGAAAAAGAAGGGATACTATAGTCTGAAACACAGTCCTTACTAAACATCAACAGTTATGCATATATCTGTGCTCTAGGTAGCATAGTATTCAGATGAGAAAAAAAAAATTAAGAATTAGATGTAATAGTAACAAATATGAGTACTATAGGTGAAAAACAAAAAATGCATTAGCTATGGAACTTCCTAAAAGTAGCTATTTTAGACTACAAAGGAAAATAAATTTCCAAAAATAGAAATTTCTCTTGATAACCATACATTAATCTATAAAATAACATTGGTGGCATAGGATAAAAGCATTACCACCTAGAACTTTTTAATTTTTTTCTCAAGCAATTCTCAAATGAGATGAAGTTAAATCAAATTGTAAAATATTTTGGAAATATTTAGGAATGAAAATACATATTAGTTCTTGTGAAAGCAGTGATTAGAAGAAAATCACCTTAAAAACAAGCTAATAAAAGACATTGAGTTAATTAAAATATTCAAGACAATACAATGATAATGGCCCTAAAGAAATAATAAGAAATTTAAAAAGTGAAATCCAAATTGGAAAATTGTTAAACATATTTAAATCCAAGAAAGAGTTCTTATAAAAAATGATAGTGAAATGTAAAAAACATTAACCAAATCAAGAAAAAAATTACAAATACATAAAAATGAGATTTTAGAATAAACATGGAAATTTAGAATAATTAGAAATTTGACTGAATTCTGTGAAAATAAATTTGGAAACCTGGATGCAAATTTTTAGGAAAATATTTAACTTCAAGATCTATGCCTTCTAAATACAGAAAATATAAACGAACCAGTTACTGTAGAAGAAATAATATTGTCAGAGTCACCATTCCCAAACATAAAACTTAGTATGGTCTGATAGATAAATATTACCAACATTTCAAAGAAAAGGAATCTGTAATACTGTATGTATGTCCTCTCGGAAACAGCAATGAGAGAATCAGCATGGTCTCCATATGTTTTAGTACCATCTTGTGTAAGCATGTAGATTGCAGCCACTTTAAGCAAGTCACTAAACCTGTTTCAGAGATAGTTAACAGTCCATAAAAATTCAATTTTTCTTTTCCATAGACTAGGTGGAATATAATTTCTACTCAAAATTGTTTTCACCAGCTTCCCTTTTCAGCTCTCAACCATGGAATATGACTAAAAGTAATATTTACCATTTTGGAACCAAGACTTTAAGCACAGATGTACTCTCCATAGGGAAGGCAAAATATAGTCCACCCAAACATCTGAAGGCCTGGAACCTGTGACTATGTTGTGTTACATGATAAGGTAGAATTTAAGGTTACAGATGGAATTAAATTACCAATCATCTGACCTTAAAATGGGGAGGTAATCTTGGATTAACCTGGATAACACGCCCGATGTTATCACAAAGGTCCTTAAAGTGAAAGGAAGAGGTGGAAGAGTCAGTGTCAGAGTGACCACCTCTACTGGCTGTTGTTACCTTTGAAGACAGAAGAGCCATGAACTAAAGAGTGGGTAACCTCAAAAAAAAAAAAAAAAAAAAAAAAAAAAAAGCCTGCCCACAGCTTCGTTTCTGCCTGATGGATTCATTTCAGACCTCAGCCTCCAGAATTGTAAGAGAATAATTTGTGTTTCATTAAGTCCCTAAACATGTGGTAATTTATTATAGCAACAATAGGAAACTAATACTTTCCTCCACTCTTATTTTCCTCTTTTGCCTGCTGGATACCATTGACAATGAAGCCCTCTATGATGGTTGAACCACAAGATGGAAGTATCTTGGGCCTTCATATCATGAAGTAAAGCCAAAATCATCCACTGACTATAAACACACTTTGGACTCATATGTGAGAAATAAACCTCTCTTATATTTGAATGATGACACTTGTTACAATTTATCCCAATGAATGTAATTCTATGTGCCTCAGTTATCTTACTTTAAAACATGATAGTAATAATAGTAGTTACTAGAAATAGTTTTTGTGAAAATTAAGTGTTACTATATCTAAAATGTTTAGAATGATTCCTGATAGGATATAAATTTTATTATTAAGATTACATTTGCACAAATGGAAACGTGTGCACACATGAAAATTATAGTATTTCTTTCAAATAACAATACAAACATTCTAAATGAAAGCCTGGATGATTGGTAGATAGAATCCAGTCCCACACTGATAGATATGGCCAAAATAGTTAACTTTAAAATACAGAAAATTCAATTTTAGGAAATCTGTTAATATTCAACATTAGCAGTGGATGCAAAACAGCTCCTTTCTGTCTCAGATATCCCTATCTGAGTTAGGGATAATTTGTATCTTTTTTCTTTCTTTGCCAGGGTGTAGGGGTTGAGCACTTTTCCAGATAGGCCAACAGCATTGAAATACTGTAGATTGTAAAACTCAGCTCAAATGTTGAAATTCTCAGAGTTAGGCTTCAAATTTTTTTCTTCTAATAGTTGGAGATTTCTTCTAATAAGAATCTATCAATTCTAATTATGGGTGTTATTTTCTAGTATCAGAGCTCTATGCTTACGTACTAAAAATAACAGTGCAAGATTGGAAACAATATTTAAATAAATATGTTTCTTTTTCATGTAATATTAAAAATTAACTACAGATGAAGGTGTTGTCTTCATTAACATTTATTTGTAGCATTATATACAGGTGTTTTGAGATTTTCCTGTGCCACCATAAGAGAACTGCTTGATTTTTTTAAATTAATTAACGAGAAACTCAAATTTCTGAAAGAATTAGCTCAGTGTACAGTTTCTACCTTTGGTATGTTAAAGGATAAGACAAGTTTTGAGGACAAAGATTGTATCCTTGTATACTCCTTGCAGACATTGGTTTTGCTGACCCAATAATATAACTCTCCTGATTATTAGACCTGAAAGGAGACTTTGGTTTGCTGAAATATTCTGCAATAGGTATTTTCAGGTTGTTTTTTCTTATAAACAATGGGGTCTTGTTCTCAGCTCCTGAAACAGAAAATATACATCTATATATAAAACCATATTTGAGACACCTAAGTATAGCTGAAATAGAAAAAAAAATGTATATATAAATAAGACCATGTTTGAGATACTGAGTATAGCTTCTACCTTATTTTAGTATTAAATGATATACAAAAAAAACCCATCATATGAAGTTTAGATGAATCAGAAACAGCCAAAATTCATAAAAGAATCTCTTCTCATATTTCTTACCACTGACTCATCTTTAATGAGCTATGTGTTCTATAACATGCAGGCTATGCTCTTTTACTCTTAGAAACAAATGTGATTCTGGTAGGAATGATTTAGAATTGATGATGAGTAAGAGGGGTAGGCAAGTATTGGACCAGTGAGAGAAAGGAGAAAGGTCTATGGTCAGATAGATAAAATAAGAGAATAGATAAGCAGGTTAAAACACATTCATTGTACCATACACTACTTCCATAGCCTACATAATTGCACCCAAATAACAATACAAATTTGTAAAGATGCTGAATAACAACAATGGAGTGAAAGGGGCATAATTTGAGGGATTTCTAGGTATCTAACAGGGAAAAATGTTGTGGGTCCTGAAGTAAGACAAAGTTTATTAGACACCATCAATGTCATCATTTTATAGTCCTAGGGTGGGAAGTTTGGTAGGAGAGTCCAGATGCAGTAGATTATCCTCATAGTTAGAGTAACGAGTGCTTTTTTAATTTCTAAACTACACTTATTATTGTCTGTTAGCACATAAAGCCACTTTTGGGTTTGGTTAACCCCAATGGAACTGCTGGCATCTAGAGTGACCCCATGGGACTCTAATTAATTAGCATATCATTCCTAGTATGAGGGGAATTTGGAGAAATAACAAAGCTTATAGATATACTTGACGGTTTGTTTCTCTGTAGTCATATTTGCCATGCTTGTTTTAAATCTAGAAGCTGCCAGATCCACAGGGGTGCTTCTCTTGGGCTATTCTGGACCAAAGTAGGACTTTCACAATTATTTTCTCTGGTCCATATTGTAGTCTGGTACTGGACATCTGTCTGGTGGAGACACAAAACTGCTCTTTTTCTATTATATTTCACCTGTTTTACAGGGTACCTGCTTGTGGCTGGTTGCCATTTTACTCGTCTCTCTGGCTGACTTTGTATCCAGTGAAATCATCCAGCTCTATGACAGTTAAGCTGTAAAGAACCAAAACTCTGAGATCATCATCCTTTTGTAGGTCAATGCAGGGTTTTCCTTTTCATTGAGTTTGCATGACTACACCTATAGTTCTGTTGTCCTGCTGTCCTGCTTCTAAGAATGTCCCTGTCCCTGATGAGGCACTTTGCCTTTCAAAACAAAGGTAAATTTATTTTAAATTCATCTCTATGAGAAATTCAGCAGATGTGGTCCCTTAACAGTTTTGATGGAAATCACTCTTGTATTTTACCTTTTTCTTGTAAAAGCACAAATCTTTAAAATCTATGTCCCTAAGTAGTTAGTACTTGCTGGTTTCCTTATACCGACTCAGTAATTATCACAAACTATACTTAACCTTTTGCTACTTCCTTATTTCCTGCAGATTCTTGGCTTGATGCTCTGAATCAATTGGAGAAAGAAAAAAAATTAATTTCACAGATACAAATTAGACTATTCTATCAACAAACTCAGCATATATCTATCTTAAATATGCTGTCTCAGTTCTTTGCTTTTTAATGTTGTATTAAATTTACTTCCTAACAAAAAGTTCTTACTTGGAGTAAATATCTAACTAGAACATCCATATGCTAGTCAGGAAGGTGGAGATTGGCTCTAACTCTCTCCTAGTTTCTGATTTTATGGATACTTTATGATAGAGACAAATTACAATATAAAATTCTCTGTCTTAATGCTTTTAAAGTGACAAATTATGTTTTAATATTAATTTTCTCCGAATTTAAGTTTTACCAACTTTTAACTTTAAAGCAACAAGATTTTCTTCCTCAGCTTTAATAATACCTTACCACACATTCTTTCAACATGATATGATACATAATAAATGTATATTAATCTTCTGCTCTTGAAATTATATAGTTTAAGAAAAATTTCTTCTGAAATAATTTCCAATTTCCTTAGTGGTTATTCTTCTCTCTTAAAGCCCCCAGGAGTGTCAGAAAAATTAAGTGAAACAATTTATTTTTATCTTTATTATTCTACACAAAAATCATGCCTATATGATGTTCATTTAACAAAATATACAATAACCATAACACTATACTTTCGGTTTTCTTTATGGCTTCTATTCTTAGTTAAACTGAAAAAAAAAAAGCCCCTATATTTTCTTGGTTTTCTTTCTTGGAGAAAGAAAAAAAAATTACTCTTGCTTTGCTCTTAGTGAAAAGGGAATTTTCCTCAAAAAAAAAAAAGGTTATTGGATAAAGAAGACATAGCCCCTGCCAAAATATTCTGAACAGTAGACTTGAGAACAATTCTCATATTACATATAAAAATGAAAAAAAACATACATATTGCAGTCATTTACTAAGCAGAGTTGAGACTTGAACCTCAGCATATTTAGCATTTTGACAGATAAACAAGATAACTCAAACCCTTTATATAACTATAGGCCCTTTAAGTGACCATATCTAATTACCTGGTTGGTTGATATCCATCCTTAGCTCCAGTCAGCACCTTTGACTTTGCAGGTGAATTTGGGGGAGATTTGATCGTAGTGGGTGATTTAACTGCAGATGGCTTCCCAGTCTCTCCTGCTGGTTCCACTGGGGTGTTTCTTCTGCGGCGACTCAATAAATGTATCTCAGCCAGCTCAGAATGAATCAAAGCTGAGATCCACTCTTTTTCTGATTAAAAAAAAAAAGTTGGAGAGTGGAAGTTGTCATTATCATGTTAGCTAGAAGCACAGACTTAGTACTTATTTCTAGCACACCAGTGTGAAGGCTGGCGATCTGTTCTCCAGGTAGGTAACTATATGTGAGTAAATGTTGCTGCAGAAAAGTTCATTCATTTCAACCTAGTTTCTGTTGACCTATGATACTGTACAGAGCTCAGGGTAGTTAAGTCACTGTCTTTGAATAGCAGTGGAATAATTTAAAAATATTGAGTACAAAAGCTTTATAGGCTGCTGTAAAAATTTAAGGATACCTGATAATGCAGATTCTCTTTAGAAGTTTTGCTCTAGTCAGTCTGATGACCAGTTTAGTTTCAGGATAGCTGCTCTGTGTCACTTTTGGTCTCCCTGCTTGTTGGGAATTTTAGGCATTTTCATGGGATAGGTGGTAAGAGCCCAAAGGAGGCTGAGATATAACTATGTTGATGGTTTGGGTAAAAATAGGCAGAGTTGTTAACTGAGTCCAAAACTGGGAAAGCTATGTTACTGCCATCTATACTAAAGAAGAGAAACAGGCTCTATGTTCAGAATTCACAGTAGGTGATAGGATGTGCTCAGGGAGAGTTCTAGGTGTGTGGAATTTGGAACGGAAGCCCAAACCAGCTCTAACTGAGAATAAGGTCTCCTCTGGTCTTAGGTGCTTCATATCATCCCAATGAGTTCAGTTGGAAACATACTGTATTTGGGGTTCATTAAATGACCAGCATGCCTGCAGTTGGAAATACAGTACTGTAATGATCCTGACACTGAAACATGGAAGAAACAATTACAGCCTTATCTTTGCAAATCCAAGGTAGAAAACTTCAGATATTGGCATATTCCCAGTTTCTTTCATTAACCGAATCTCAGTATCTACAAATACTTATATTGATCTCACCTTTTGTACTTGCATGAAGCAGCCACTGTGTAACTTCTGCCAGAGAATCAGTATGTAAAATGTCACAGAGCTTTGCCAAGATCTGACAGAGAACATTAATTAGAGTTACAGGGTGAGCAAAAAAATTATACAAGTCTTAAAACATTTCCTTTACTTTCTTCATAATCTCATCTCCCCGCGTCCATGATAATCAACTAACTCAAGTGGGATCTTAGTTCAGGACCCCATTTTCAAAAAGTACAAAATAATTTTAGCAAAATATTACCAGTGTAAGTAATAATTTAGACTAGGCAATGCTGTGTGTTTCTCTTGTTATGTCAGTTCCAACATCTTCTGTAGGAGAAACTCACTTCTTCTGGGAAAGTGGTCCTTTCCTACTGTTCCTTAGGGTTCTAATGGGAATCTGAAAGAGGCTGAAGCAGTGGCCTTTGTTAAAAGTTATTATATAGTCTATCAATCTGTCTTTTTATTGGAGTTTTTAGCCTGTTTTTGCATGGGTTTAAGTGTACCATCTTGTCACTTTTTAAAAAATTCTCTTCTATTTTTGTTCTACTTTTTCTTTTTTTTCTGCTTCCTTTTGGATCAATCAAGTATTTTTAAGCATTCAACTTTATTTTCTTCATTAGCTTTTCAGCCATACTTTTTTTGTTGCTCTAGGATTAAAATAGTCATCCTAACATATCATAGTGTCCCTTGAATTAATATTATACCACTTCATATATAATTTAAGAATTGTGAGTTATATTTCCAGTGCCTCCTGTCTAAACTTTCAGTTACTCTTCTACACAAACCAAAAGTCTTAATAAGACCTGTTTTTTATTTTGTTCCCTCTTTCTTAATTTATTTAATTAACAAATAGTCAACAACTATCTAGTAAAATGCCATGCTGTATGTGCCCATTAATATTTTTCAAGCAGTGATGAGGGCTGAGGAATCAGTTGTGAATATAAGATCCCTATCTTCAAAGAGTTTACATTTTAGTAGGTTTTTTTTAATCAATCAGAGTCCAGTTAAATTTATGTCTATAACATGGCAGATGCCTTTAAGAGGAATGCTTTTTAATAGATACCTCTAAAGTCCGATCTATAAGAATTTTTAGTCTATTGATGTGCCCAAAGAAGCAAGACAGTCTAACTAAAACTGCATTCAGCTTCTAACTGTCAGGGTCAACCCCATGTAGTTAATTTTCTACAAATTTACCTTGGTCTTGGTTGAATATTTCTTGTGTTTTACTTATTTAGCATTCAACAAAAACTTATTTATAATTTTCAGATTTTTAGCACTCATCTAGGCCCTGAAGAGGAAGTAGTAAACAAGATGGACAACTATGAGATCTTCTAGGACTCAACTTCTGGGGTGAGGAAAGAGAGACAATACTGAAACAAATAAATAAATGCAAACAGTTCAAATAAGGCATACGTTATGCTCAAATAACAAAGGGTAATGTCATTGAGGATGACTGGGTAGCTACATTAGATTGGGTGGTCAGGCAAAATATTTCTGAGTGTTATTTAAACTGAACCTTGAATAAGAAAGTGACTACACAGAGGATCAAGGGCAAACGAATGCTTATGAGGATAAGCCTATGAGGTAGAAATGAGCATATTATAGAAAACATCAGTGTGACCATAATTTTATAGGTAAGGTGGGTGGTGATTTTGAAGACTCTGTATACTATCTTTAGTTAGAACATCATCTTTTCTTTTATTATTTTTCCCAATATAGCCATCACATAAATTATTATATTAATAACACTGCTTATTTCTATAACATTGTTCCACTTTATTTTTTAAATAGTTCCTTGTTAGAATTATTCAATGACCTTCTTTACAACATGTTTTGTTATGTATAACTGTTACGATAAATACTGATTATTTAAAATTACATTAGAGTCATCAATACAATACTTTTGACCTTTAATTCATTGTAGTGGGTCTTACAATGAGGCAATGTGGTATGTACCAAAGTGATTCAAAGAAAAAAAATAGCAGATAACAAATATCAGATAGTTTATTATCCTTGATCATATGTCATTGTCAGAAATAACTGTGACTGAGGAGAACCCTCCAGTCTAATGTGACATATTACTATTAATATAACTAACTTTATAACTTCAGGCAGAAAATACTTGTGGAAATTTTCCAAAAATAAGAAGGGAGACATGAATGTTGATTGGAAGAATATTTGCCTTAATATTATATAACAAGGAAATAGACAAAAGTGGCAAGAAATTAGGGATAGTACCTCTCAAGTTTTAGGAAAATAATGTCATGGGAAGAATTGGGCTGGTTTGGTTGGTAAATGCCCATCTTTTCATTACATCTAAACCAAAGCTTGTGTTTATGTATGAGTGACAGAATTCCAGGGACAAGTAAAATGATTAGAAATGAAAACATGAACAGGCCTTGCATTTCAGGCTAAGTAGTTTTAAATATTCATGTATCAATAAGAAACCATTCTTAAGTTTTAATGACAATAGTTATATGAGGTTTTTTTGGTATGTTCATGCTATTCCCAAGTTATGGATTTAATAAACCTGCCTTTTACCTTTATTTCTTGATCCAGATAGTTTGGTATGCAAACAGTGTTCTCTTTGACATCAGCCTTGGTGCTCATTGCCTCTGAAGAGCAGGATCCAGCAGTATAGCATGCATTTGGAGGTGATGGTGACTTTTTAACCTTAATTTCTTCCTAAATAAAAAGTGTATTATAATCAATATGCATTTCCCACTTCTATGCAAATTAAACATAAAATGAATGAGAAACATTCTAGTAAATAAGAGAGATCCATGAAAGTAAAAGGAGGATAGTTTTAATTCTCCTTTAAATTCTATCAAACATTTGTATTTGGAGACAACATAAATAGTGATATATTATTAACTTTTGTTGAAATCACATAAAACTCATAATTATTATATATATATATATATATATAGTGTGTGTGTGTGTGTGTGTGTGTGAATGACTCATTCTTGAAGAAATACAGAATGAAATCAAAGTTGGAACTTGGTTTAAGTCGGTCTAAGCTGACAGAACTGGGTTCCTACAGAAGTAAACCCTCTGGGAAAAACACATTTACTTTGAGTTTCAGATTCCTACAAATAATGTTTCATACAAGATGACCAACAATTGGGTCCTGAACCAAATTACAGTGAGAACTGGAAAATATTTTGAACTTACTAAAAATGTTGACTAGTAAAAATTGTGAAGGCAGCTAAAGCAATATTTAAATATTAATTTATAGCTTTAAAGTACACATTTTAGAAAAATGTGTTAGAATAAATAAAGTATGTGAATAGACAAAATGATAACAAGAAAAATCAACAAAATAAAAATATTCAACAGAGGATGAAAAATTCACAAAGTTTTTGATACACTATTAAAATACATAAAAACTTCTGTTAAAATTAATCAAGAAAAATAATGACATGTTGTAAAAGGGTACCTCTTACAAATTCTGAAGATATTCTTACAAGATTATAAGAGCATTATGTATAACTTTTCCAATAAATTTGAGAATTTAGATAACAATTTTTAGAAAAAGGATGTTTTGCTAAAATTGATTCAAGAAGAAATAGAAAGTCTGAAGTCTAAAGTACATTTCAAAGCAAAGAATAGCATCAGGAGTAAAAATAGTAATTTTTTAATGATAGAAAGATCAATTCATCCCAAGAACATAGCAAACCTTAACAGTTATACTCCTTAATAAGAGGTTAAAATATATGATTAAAATTGACAGAAATGATAAGAGAAATATAGGAATCCATAATTATAGTCAGAAATTTTAATACCCTTTCCTCAATAATTTATAGAAAAAGTAGATAGGAAATCAGTAATGACTGTAGAAGACTTGGGCAATGATATCAACCAACATAACCTATTGGTGATTATATTACATTGTATCCGAAAGCGGCAGAATAAAAATTATTTTCATGGGAAAATGGAAAATAATTAATTGACCATGCTTTGGTTTATATAACCATTCTCAATAAATTTAATGTTTCAAAGAATGCAAAGTATGTTCTCTAACTAGAGTGGAATTAATAAGTAATCCATGGGTCAAAGACGAAATTTAAAAAGTTTTTACCATATATAAAGGTGGAAGCCAGAATCAATTAAATAGAATTGAAGAAACAATAGAGATAATCAATGAAATGAAATCCCAATTGCTTTTTTTTTTTTTTGGTACTAGGGATTGAACCCAGGGTGTTCAATCACTGACCATAACCCTAGTCTTTTTGTATTTTATTTAGAGAGAGGGTGAATTGCTTAGGGCCTCAATAAGTTGTTGAGGCTGGCTTGAACTCATGATCCTCCTGCCTCAGTTTCCTGAGCAGCTAGGATTACACGGGTGTGTCACTATGCCTGTCTGAAACTCTGATTCTTTAAGAAGATCAGTTAAACAGGTAAATCTTTAACTAGACACATCAAGAAAGAGACACGAATTACTGATATAAGTAATGAAAGAACAAACATTGGTATAGATTATATAGTCATGAAAAAGGCTGAGGCAGGAGGACCTAGAGTTCAAAACCAGTCTTGGTAAAAGTGAAGTGCTAAGCAACTCAGTGAGATCCTGTCTCTAAATAAAATGCAAAATAGGGCTGGGGATGTGGCTCAGTGATTGAGTGCCCCTGAGTTCAATTCCTGCCACCCACGCTCCAAAAAAAAAAAAAAAAAAAAAAGAAAGAAAAAAAACTACAAATATTGTTCATGAACATAAACAAAATATTTTTAAAAATTTTATATTTAAAAGAATAGCATATCATAACCAAATAAAGTTTTCACCAGGAATTCAAGGTTGGTTTAATGTTTGAAAGTTAAACCCATGTAATTAATTCACTATATTAACAGACTGAAAAGAAAGATTATGTGATCGTCTCATATGCAGAAAATGCATTTGGCAAAATTCATCCCCTGTTTCTGATAAAGCTCTATAAATATAAAAACATTTCTTCCACCATATGAAATGCATCTATGAATAAAGTAAACTTCATTGTACTTAATGGTTAAAGTCTGAATGTTTTCCCCTTTGTTCAGACTCCAGGCAAGGATGTCTGCTCTCATCACTTCTGTTCAACAGTGTTCTAGAAGTTCAGCCATTGCACTAAGGTACAATAGAGATAAACACCAGGCAGATTTGAAACTATAATACAAAAATTATGCATTTCAGTGTCATCAAAATTATAAATGTTATGGGTTTTTTTCAAAAACACTGATACACAAAATAAGCAAGTATCATACTAGAAGAAAACTTTTGCAAAATGTGCATATGTGTTGTGATATAAGATTTATAACTGAAATATAAAAAGAAATTTTATAAATTATAACAAAAGACCAACAACCCAATGTCAAAAATAGGCAAAAGATTTGAACATATACTTCCTGTAAAAGGATATATGTATGACAAATAAGATTATGAAAAGATGTCAACCTCATTAGTCATTAAGAAAATGGAAATAAAAACCACAATAAACTACCACTATTTACCAGCTAAATTGGTTAAAAATAAAAAGAGTGACCAAAACTAAGTTTTGAAAGTCTATGGAAGAAAGGAAATTCTTATTTACTTACAGTGGGAGGTGAAATGCTACAACCACTTTGGAAAACACAGTGGCCATTTCTTAAAAGTTTAAACATAAAATTCCTATGAGACTCAAGTTATTCCACTCCCAAAAGAAAAGACAGTACATATCTATAGAAAGACTTTTACACAAATGTTCATATTAGCTTTGTAAATATTAAAAAATATAGGCAAACAGATAAACAAATTGTGAGACAATCATAAAATTAAATACTACTCAGCAATAGAAAAGAATGAATTATTGATGCACAAAACAACATGAATGAATCTTAAAATAATCATGCTGAGTTAAATCAGATTTTAAAGGAGAACTCATTATTTTATTTCATTTGTATAAAAATTTTAAATCCAAGTGATATAAAGTGGTTTGGGAGTGCTGTGGTCATGAGGAGACTTTGGGGGTTAATATATACGTACATACATACATATATATGTAGATTCTCTTGATTGGAGTGCTAGTTTCCTGGATGTGTCAAATCAACTTGTGTATTTTGAATATATGCTTTTTATATCATGTTAGTTATATTTTAGTAAAGCTTTAAAAATATTGTGCAATGTAGTGACTTTTCAGAAAGATATGTGAAGAAAAGAAAAGGAAATGACAGAATCCAATTAAATAGATAGCTGTAAATAGTTGTTTCTTTACCTTTTTAATTACTAAGGGATTTTCACTGGAAGTTTTGAAGCACTCATTGAGTTTTCTGCAGGGCTCTGAAATGAGGTTTAGGAAAAATATATGTAAATTAAACTAAAAAAGAATTTCTATCATGTAAGGTGTCAATTGCTGAAATATATGAGAGTATATCTGACTTTAGGTTAAGTTCAACTCCGGGATGTATATATAAATATTAGGAAACATTTCAGATGGAACTGAATTATAACAGCATAAGAAAAGTGCATTTATATTAAAATATTAATTCTATTCCCAAACTGATAATATAAAGATACACTGTAAGTGCTTTCTTAATTCAGTTAAACTGATTTAAAAGTACATATCTTACAATAGAACATGTTTTTCTCTGTTTCATACCCATAAAGCTGTCACATTCTCTAATTAGAATAGAATTTATGTGTTTGTTTCCCTGAAGACAGAGAATATTTGTGCTGACCTATTATTGTATCCTTTCTTTATTTTTTCTTGTTTCATTAGTCTCTCAACTCTACTTTGACTTGGCCATTGAACTAAATCCCCCTGCCTTAAAACCACTTGAAATTTGCTGAACTTTAATTTAAAGACATATTCTGTGTAAGTGATGCTATCTTTTACCAAAGCCTTAATTAACACAACAGTTATTTTAAGATGAAAATATTTTGTGCACATTCATAGTACTAACTAAATTCATTAATTCTAGCTAGAGAAAGAGAGAAAAATAAACTTTAATGTTATCTCTCCTCAAATAATGAAAACAAAATTGTGGTGAGTATGTAATGTTAGTGTTCACTCATGGAAAATCGAAGCTACTCAATTTTAAGCCAAAATGTAAATAATACAGATAATTAAGAGTCTGTAATAGTGTTGGAAGAACTGGGGCTATGAACACTGATCTCAACCTTTCCACATTACTCTAGGAGCAACATCTTGGACCTGACCTACCTTGGGAGGCACAACCTTTAAAAGAGTCAAGAGGAAGGGGAACCAGGAGGCTGCTGCCCCTTGGATTACTGCCCCACATTTATGATGCTGAAGATTAGGCACTGGAATGCTATTATAGTCAGAAAGCTACAATGTCTGCTGACCTTGCTTGTTTATACCCATAAATACAGAATCTGAATATTGGGATGCTGTAGCTAGAAAATTCAAGTTTCTAGTCATGCTTGATATTATATAGCAAAAAAAAAAAAAAGTGAACTTACCCCTACAGCTAACAAATCTTACTAGGTTGCAACCACTAATTCACTAATTCCTATGAAGTCACTCTGTCTTGAAAATGTAATTTTTAAGTTTCCAGGTGCTACAGAATTGGAAGGTAATGATATGTCAATAGCTTTATAATGTTTTGAACAACCAATAAAAAAAATAAATTAAAAAAAATAAATAAAATAAAAATAACGATCCCATAAAAAAAAAAAAAGAATTGGAAGGTATACTAGAAAGAAAGTGTAGTAAGCGGACTTTAGCTCTTCATTGCCAATAGAAGAGTGGAGGAGGAATTCTTGAGAGAATACAATGAATTAACCAGTGTGAATACCTTAGAATGGTATGTGTCACATAGTAAGTATTTTGTAAATGATTACTCTTACTAACTTTAGAAAAAATATATTTTACTATAGTATACCAAAATAATTTTCATATACTCTGAAAGTTTTAGTAACAGCATGTGTTTATATTTAGTAGGAAAGAGAGAACTGGGTATAATTTTTACCATGCAGAATTCCTTTCTTCTATTGTACTTGTCCTTTGGATTTTACCACACATTGCTTTTGATTAAGTTTATCAGCTTCATTTAGAAAGTATTCTGCTGGGACCTGAGGACAAACCAAGAGTACAAAAACACAGAAGGCAGTGACACTAAGGCATGACCTTAAGGAGATGGTAGTCCTGTGGGGAAGATGTAAATAAGCAATTCTGTCCATACTGTTTCCTGGACTTGCTTTTTGACTGATGTAGTTTCCCTTTTGGTATCAGCTTAAACATTCATATCCCCTTTCTCTTAGCTAGTTTTATAGGGATTAGAGACTACAGTCATGCCAAATACATGTTGGACACAATAATAGTAATAATATTTATTAATGTTATTGCAGTACTGAATTGAAGTTAGAAGAGAGAAATAATTATATACTGAAAAACATATTTCATAGTGAGAAAATTCTATTTAAAAATCACTACAGCCATTTTAGCAATCATATAGGACCACACCAGTAATTTGTAGGAGATCCAAGAAGATATTCCATCAGTTGAGAGCAACTCACCTGAATGAGGTCTTGGGGGCATTTTGACTCTGCTTTGGGCTGGTGACACTCCTCTGACAGGACTCTCTGGGGCAGCAGGACTCGGTGGATAATTGCATTTGGCAAGTGGTATCTCATCCTTCTCTAACTGGTCAAACTGGCTAACACCATACAGGGCTCCCAGAGCAAGCTCATCGTCATTCACAGTACAGATCGGGATGTTATTCAAACCTAGGTGAATAAGATTAAAAAGATCAAACAACCAGATAAGGTTTAGGCAGTTTTTCTTTAAATATTGGCAATTTTCAACCAAGTATTGTTAAATGTGCAGCACTGGACTTCCAAAATGTATGAACCAGTGCTAGGTGCTATTCTTCAAAAGTTAGCATAGGTAATTTTGTTTGCAATACATGCTTCCTTAAAATATTCTGGCATTTTATCAACCTTGAGAACCAGGCCACATCTTTAACCTTGGTCTTAGAGTTAAGATGAATAGGCGTGCTTTTATCCTTTCACCCAACTCTCTCACCAATGTAAAATTTTAGATTTTTGAAAGCATTCAGAACAAGTCCTTTTAAAAAGATACTCTGGATTTTTTTGCCCCAGCAGATGGTAAAAAGCTTTTGGAGGTAGGACTAGGAGGCTGGATAAAGGAGATTGTGAGGGTAGTAAAGAATTTGGTAAAAAGGGACCTTACCTCTCTTGACCAGAGACTTCTGTTTCATTTACTTTCTTCTAACAGTTGTTTGCTTTTGATTCAAATATAGAAATTTGCTCAAATGTAAAATTATAGAGAGTTTTTTTTTCAATATCAATGCAAAGTCATGTGGAATTGGACAGCTTAGGAAATGGTAATGTGCAGGACATTGATTCATTATCAGTGGATTATAAGAGATAATAAAAGATGGCTACTTTATCTCCCAAGAAATTACCAGGCAAACTGCTGGAGTTTTCATACTTATTCAGTCTTCAAAATCTCCCCAAAGTACTGCTAGTCTGCCCTCCTCTTATTTATTTGCTCAGATGACATAAAAATGTCTTTGCTGACAACTCTGTCTGAAATACAGTCCATTTCTCACTGTCCCCTTATGTTCTTTTCTTTTTCTCATTGCACTTGTTACTTTTCATAGTATACCTATTTGCACATTGCTTGTCTGAGTTGTACTAGAACATAAGCTTCATGAAAGAAAGGATTCTGTCTGGTTTGTTTGCTCTCCATTCCCAGCGCCTAAAACAGTGCCCATCAGAAAGTAGGGCTCTTTGATTATTTGTTGAATGAATGACTAAGAAAACCAAACATAAGGATTTTATTTAGCCAAAAACTTAGATAAGAAATCATAAATGATTTCTTGAAAAGCCCTCAGATGCAGCTAAGGTGGCCACTGTTGCTTCTCAGAGAGGAAGGGAAATCACAGAAATCCAGGCTCTCTTTCAATGAAAGAACAAAGTCTCCTTAGTAAAAGAAGAACCTGGAGATAGGTAATGGCTACCATGGCAGGGACAGGTTTGGGGGTTTTGTTGTTGGTGGTGTTTTTGCCTCTTAACAAGTGATACATACAGGTCTCACAATCTGGCTTTGGCAAACATTCTGAAAGCAGCTATGACATTTGCTTATATTGCTTTTTGCAACACAATAATAATACTCAAACTTCTTCACCTACTGTTTCTGTTGTTAGAATCATTTTACTCTGTGTCTCTTGCCTGGATCTCTAAGACTTATCAGAATATAGCTTGAAATCTACCAAGCAAATGTAAGATTTTAAGATAGTTATGTGTATAGGTTCAAATGCTTCCTATTCTCTTTAATGGAGCTTGAAGAGGTTACTAATTTGGAAAACAGATGGAAATTTTTTAATTTTTTATATGTATTGATCGTGATCCCATTTATTGTTTCCTTTCTTCAAAATTGTTTCTCTCTATTCTCAGAGACATTTTACTAGTTCTATCTCAGCATATCAGACCATTTCTTTTCTGTTTCTTTCACTGGATTATATGTAATCAGAAGTTGCAACTATTGTTATAGTGTATGCTACAGTAGACCCACCACTTGCCTAGAACATGGACTAAGGATATAGGTGCTGAGCTCTCCAGCTGCCATGACCATCAGTTACTTCTGAGTAAGCCTAAGTCCCTCTCTTGGAATTATTCTTGGTTAAAGGAAGCTCTCATGCCCCAAAGAGCTCAACCAATGAGTGGGGGATGAGGAGTTAGCAAAAAGCATGGTGTCTTTGCCTGGAATTGAGATATCTCTGAAGGATCATCTGCCCCTTGTGGGATTGGTTGAGGCCTCTGTTGTATTTGTGTGGCAGTTCAACTTCTGCCTGATTCTGCTTCCCTTGTTTCCTCACAGCTGGTACTCCCCAAAGCACTCCCCAATAAAGCTACACAAATCTCCATTTCAGAGTCTCTTTCCAAGGAATCTGATCCAAAAATATTGCTCTGTAGAAAAATATAGGGTACTATGATAAAACTTCATGTAGGAAAATCAAATTAAGATTGAGGATATGGAGCCTGGAAAGTCTCTTTGAAGTGATAGAAACAACAAATAATAGGGAAGTTTCGTGGCTAGAGGGAGGAGAATGAGTAAAAATCCAAGGGAAAGGCTTGTTAATGTTCAAGGAACTTAAGTCCAATATGGCATGTATATAATGGGTTTATGAGATGCCATAAGAAATAAGAAATAATCAGAGTCCACATTATAGGGAACATTTTATTTAATATCAAAATAAACAATCTTATCCTAAATGCGTAGCAAGTCTCTGAAGGATTTGGTATAGGATTTTTAAACAAATTTACATTTTAATGTTATATTTTTGTTTGCTCTATCATGAGTGGATTGGACAAGGGTAAGAATGGAAACAGAGCACCAAGAAGGATGAAAATTATGAAAATAAGAATCAGAGCAAAGGTAAAGGAAATGACAATGGAGTTGTGAACATGACCATGGAGAGAATGTTTTAAACATTTAGGAGAAAAAGGGATAACATCAAGTGAAATATTGCCGAGGGAAGGGAAGAAGGTGGAGGAGTGAGGAGCAACCTCAAATTTGTGGTACCACTTGTTTATTAGTGTATACTAGTTGGGGGGACCACACTTCTGGGAGAAGACTAAGAGTTTAGTTTTGAAGAGGAAGTTCAGGGTTCCAATCAGGCATTCCATTCCTCACAAGTAGGCAGCTGAATATTTAGGTCTGAACTTTAGAAGTCTAAGATGTGAATCGGAAACTATTGCCTATCTATGACATTTAAAATGTGTGAATGAGTGTATTTGCCTAGGATTAGAGTATAGACTACAAAGAGGAAATAGCCAACGGTTGACCTGTGAGGGATTCTAAGATTTTACTGCAAGCTGGAAAGTAGAAGCCATGGGGATAGAGAAAAAAACAACAACCTAGAAACATATGATGCTAAGAAGCTAAATAAAATATTTGGGGTGGGGGAAAAATGAAGGAAGGAAAGAAGGAAGGGAGGAAGGGAGGAAGGGAGGAGGTAGGGCAGTTGAAAGGGAGGGATGAATTAAAGTATTAGTGGTTAACTTTGTCAAATGCCACTAAAAAGTCAAGATGGAATTAAACAGTGTCTGTAGTAGATATTTGTCAGGTCAGCTCAGTACCCTTGTCTTTCTGCCTCTGCTCAGTACTACTGAAGAACAAGGATGTTTGTCCTGATGGGTCTGGACAGCTGAGCAGCCTCCTAATATTCTTTGTTTCTAGGCTCAGGCCTTTTTCTGACAAAGATGGTTCGTTTGTATTATGGTAATAGTCTAGTCTCACTTTTCAGGGATAAGATACGTTTCTCTCTGCTGGGGGCTCACTGAAACAATGGTTCTTATTTAGTAAGTGAGAATCTCAGGGGTGGGTCTGAGGATCTAATGATGAAGCCCAACAGCTGAAGCTATACACTCCCTTAATGTCCCACAGTTACCCATCCTGGGCAAAGTGACAAGTTCATTCTAACAAGTCCCAGTAGTTCTGCTTGTTTTCCATACACTCATAATCTTGAGAAATCTACCTCTCAAAACAAAATCTACCTCTTTTTTTGTTTCATCTAGAAGCCAAAATATTGGTAAACCTATACACATTTTATAATTCAAGCCAAGCTACATTTTGAGAAGATATTGTCATTAATATCCAATTTCCAAACGCCTGTTCCATAAAGTTAAAGGAAGTAAGAATAAAAAAGAAAGGAAAGAAGGGAGGGAGAGACAAAAGGTATGTTTCTTTAGGGCTCGCATTACATGGCAGGCTGCGCTTGTAGTTGAAATATTAAAATACTTTTAAACCAATTGGACAATGCTACCCTTAGTCCCCTGAATGGTCCCCATTGCCCTCGTCACTTTGACCCCCTCTCCAGGCCCCTGTCCTAACAATCAAGCAATCCAATGGCTAATGTCTAACAGAAAAGAGACTTGCTGTGGTGCTGACTTTTGGTCCTAATTGTCAGTGAACATGCTTTGCCAGTGGTTAAATATTTTGAATAGCTGCCTTTTGTTAACTCACCAGAATCATCAAGTAAACCAAATGTGGAGGAAAGAGACATATCCTAGGACCTTAAGTCCCCTTACCTTTGATATGGCAGACTCTTCTGGGATGAGGGGTGTGCCTAACTAGAAAACAACCCCCATTTCTAGTCACAATAGGGTTGCTTTTGCTCTCAAACTGAAGAACAGAAGTTGGGGATTTGAAGTTCTTTTGCATGACCTGTTGGTTTACCCCCTTCACTGTTGCCAAAAAACGTCCTTGGGGTCTAACTTGATTGACCTCAGTTTCAACTGTGCTCAGATCCTGAAATAGAATAAAAATTGTTCTCACAAGATATTTTTGACATTTTCTTATACAGCAAATATTTTCCCATCATCTTTGCACTGAATTACTTCTTATGTCAAAACAATATGAGGCATTTGCTTTCAGATCAGATTTTTGTAAACAACAAAAATAGTATAGGTATGAGTAGAACATAAAAATTTTCCTCTGGAAAATCAAAGAATTTGTAACAAAGTATATTCAATCTTTAATTGCATTTAAAGTTATTTGTTGGCTTACCAACCAAAAATTACATTACACGATTATTAGCAATTTTGACTTAGTAAATTATAATGGTGCCTTTAAAATACAATGCCTAGAAATGTACTTTACATAAAATTAACTTTAAATGAAAACATTTCATAGCATAATTTAAGAGGACTAGCGTTTTAAATTTGTATTTTCTTCTAAGAAGATGATATAACCTGAAGGAGAAAAATTCCAAAAGAATAACACTACATCTATAGATAATAAAATGAAGAACTTTTGTCATACTGTTCTTTGCAATATTCAGTAATTTTTACTTTTCCTTTTAATCATTTAGCAAACATTTATTAAATATCTACAGAGTCATAGGTTTTGGAGAATAAAAATAATGTTATTACTTTCTGAATTCACAATAGAGTAGGAAAGAAAATACTTGAATTGAGAGCAAAGGAAAGACATTACTTACTTAAAGATGGTACACTACTCTTATAATCTAAGAAGGATTTTATTTAATTAATTAATTTTTTTTGGTGGCTATTGTGTATATTTCTCATCTTACACAGATGCCAATTCATTGTGGTGGAATTTGGAAATACATACTTTTATTTCTAATTATGGCAAGGAGATTTTTTGGGTCAGACTAATTTGCAGTGTCAAAACATGTTCGTAGTCTTTCCAGTTGTGGTGACACAGGCCTGTAATCCTGGCTACTCAGGAGGCTGGAGCAGGAAGAGGCCAACCTGAGCAAGTTCAAGGCCAGACTGGACAACTTAGCAAGACCCCTATCCCCAAAGTAAAAATAAAAGTAAAAGACCTCGAGATGTAGCTCAGTGATAAAGTATCCTGGGTTCAATCCCCAGTATTGCCAAAAAAAAAAAAAAGTCCAGGTTATAGAAATTGAAATCAGGATTTTATTGGAGTGGGGTATTTTTAGTTGGTTGACTATCTTTTTATACCATAGTCTAGATTTTCCCCAGGGTATGGGTTTAGAGCATATAGTCTATAAATTACCAGTCCTGTTGCCACAGAACATCTGATTTTCAAGAATTTCAATTTGATACACATTAATTCTAAAATTATTCTGTTAGATAAAATACATTTAAATATTATATTTAGAAAATACAATTTTCTGATAATAAAAAGTATGTTTTTATTGTTTCTTATGACTATCACAATGTGGGTTTAGTTCTAAATTCCTTGTATAACCTCTTGGTATAATCAAACTTTAGATTTATTCTTTTTGTGTTAGTAGCATCTTATTAAGATATAAAAGTAAGATGAATTACAGGCTTCAAGGAAGCACTGCTATTTTCATAAGAGAAGAAAAAGAACCCTCTGCTTTAGTCAGATTAGCATTGCTGTAACCAAAATACCTGACAAGAACAATTTAGAAGAGGAGAAGTTTATTTTGACTCACAGTACCTGAGTTCTCAGTCTGGCGGGTAGGATGTTATAAAGGGAAGCTGCTCCCCTCAAGGCAGAGGCAGGAAGCAGAGATGGGGTAGGAGTAGGGAGAAGGGGCCAGGGCTTCACCTGCCCACAGTTACCACCCAGTCATTCAAAAGAGGACAGACTGATTAGATTTTGACTCATAATTCAAGTCCTTTACCTCTGAATATTGCTGTAGTAACCCAGGAGCTTTTGGAGTGATACCTCATATCCAAACTGTAACACTCTGCATTGATTTACTGTTGACATGTTATACCAAATTTTAAAGTAAGTCACTACCATTTAAACCTACCTAAAGAATTGATGTGGGACAGACACACTCAGAAGAACTAGAAGAACTGAATGTTTCAGTTGGCATATAAATGAATCCCATCAGACTACAGATGAGTAACTAAAATCTAGACAGTAAATTACTTAATTTGCAGACACTTTGCTAGTTAAAGGCAAAGAGAGGACTATAAATCCAATTTTTATTCCAGTTTAATGTCATTATCACCATCCAAATTGCCTGTTGTATCTTTTTACCCCAATACAGATTAAATGAATTTACTGGCGTGATTATACAAAAGGTTCTAGATAGGAAAAATAACTCTTACTTTTGGCTTACAAAAAATTTATTTTGATGTTACGGTTTTTTATTGTTTACAAATTGCGTTTAGGATTAAAGGTAATATACAAATATTTTAGTGACATGTATCCCTGAAAATTCTGCAAAATATAAAATATTTATTGTTTGCTGTGATCTGAATGTGTCCCTCCAAAATTAATGTGTCAGAGCCCAATCATTAATGTGATATAGTATTAGGAGGTGAAGCCTTTGGGACACGACTAGGTCATGAGGGCATAACCCTCATGAATAGAATTGGTACCCTATAAAAAATATCACAGAGAGCTGCTCACCCTTCCCATTATGTGAGAATGCAGTGAGAAGGTACCGTCTGTGAACCCAGAAGTGGGCCCTCACCAGGCCCTTAATCTGACAGTGCCCTGATCTTTGACTTCCCAACCTTCAGAATTGTGAGAAAAATAAGTGTCTATTTATGATTGACCCAGTTTGTGATATTTTGTTATAGCAGCTAAAATGGATTAAGGCAGTGTGCTTTTTGGTTTAAACTTAAATCTTCAAAGATACAGTAAATGAATAATTCAGAATAAAGGTTTATCTTGAATTATTCTAGCAAATAAGATAATATTGAAAAAAACAGAACTACCTTAAATCTGAAGAAAAGCAAAACTATGTCGATTAAACACTAATAATGGCCCACATCTTTCTCTTCAACCTCATGCTTATATTGATTTAAAAAATCTTTAGCCAATTAATTATTCATTACCTAGTGACTTTACTAGATATCTTTCCAAAGCACATGGATTGATTTAGTGCAATATTTCTCTTTTAATATTTCTTTTTATGGTAAGTGTTAAGTTTGAGTGATACCTTTTTAGAACTTATAAACTCAAAAGTAATGAAAAGATCATTCATCCTTGCACAGAATGAACTCTTTTTTTCAGAAGGCAAGAAATATGAAAAAATAAAATAATATACTTATTGATGAATAAATATTGTCTTTTCTTGGAGAATCAGACATACTATTTCTAAGATAGAAACTAAAACTTTTGCTAAAACCTATATTAGAGATAACTATCAATGCAAATTGGACCCATGTATATCATTGATGAATTCCATAAGCTGAAGCAAAGTTTTGTCTACTTCTAAAAATGTGCCATTAATTATTTACCAAGGTCCAGATAGAATCCAATGATAAATAATAGTTATAGAATACATACAGAGAATAAAATCTACACACTTGTTTCCAGTATTTTAGCTTAATGGGCATTTTGCTTTATGATATAGGAAAAGCAGTTCTCAGACTGTTTTCCCCACTATGATACGAATGACAACATTCCTATGACATGATCAGATTTTAGAGAATGCATCCCAAAATTACGGAGAAGCAGGGTATTAAAAAGTCCTGACTCAACCCTAGTGTGTCAGCATTGCTCACAAGAGCTAATTCTGACACTAATCTTTTCAATCAGGTTAAGAACAGGCATTTCCACTGTACATAAAAGAGAATGTTAGGTAAGTTACCCTGCTCTGTATTAATTTCCCTTTAAAAGTAAGTATATTACAAATATGAAAATTTTAGTAACTATCTCGGCTCTTACCTTACTGTTCCTGTTGCAAAACCAAGGCTGAGACTTCCAGACTTAAAGGATACCCCCCCCAAGAGATCTCCTGACCAAAGGTAGCTCAGTTCTGTTTATACTTCCACTTGTGACGCTAACAGTCTGCTTTCACTTTGAAAAGAAAAAGAAAAATCTATATTGAGGTACATCTGTGGGAAAATTTAATTGAAATCAATGCTTGTCATTCAAGTAATTGTGCAAATACTTCTGGGAACAATATTTTCTTATAATCTCTTTACCTCTATATCATCAAAATACTGAATTTTACTTAGAATAAATGACACATAATCCTCAAAAAAGGAAGTTTTAAAAGCCTTGCTAATCTGCCTAATCCTAGCCTGAGCCATTGTTATTTAGAAAACACTATGTAAAGCTATATGAAATATTATCTTAGTCCAATATGCAAAACATATGCTTAGAAAGAGAGAATATGATATCTGATTAATGGGATAGCTGAAAATTATTATGAGTTCATAGAGTTATACAGCTTATTATTTTGGTGATGAATATTGAATTATTTTGTATCCCCTAACCTACCATGCACACCATTCAGATCTTCCCTGGGCTTCTTCCCTCACTGTGTTCATCTCTGTCTACATAACACTTTCTCCAAAAGGCTTCCTAACCCCTCTCTGAAGTAGTTTTCACTATCATTTCAACCTGCATCACACTCTAACCCTTTTTCTCCTTAATCTCTCATAGCGATTACCCCCTCATGTTATTATTTAGTTTTACATTTAGTATATTCTCTTGTAGTGATTAAGCAGGCGATGAGCTAGCCCAGTTTTCACTCTGTATTCACAGTACCTACATCAAGTATTGAACATACACTATGTAGCAGCCTGCTACATAGTATATGCTCAATGCTTATTAAATGAACTGAATGTATTTCTCAGAATATCTTCACTCCACAGACTCAGTATGTTTATTTATATGATCCCCTAAAAAACTGGTGACTTACTTTATAAAATTAAATACCCCATTTCCTTGAAACAGATTTATTTGACTTTTACATGTCTTGAAACCCAGATCACTTGAGTACCATCAAGTAAATCAAACTTAAGCAATTAGAAAATCATTGAAATGACGAATTTTAAATTATACCTGAGAATCGTTTGTAAAACAGATGATCTGGTTAACATGAACTCAAATCTGTTGGTACCCTTCCAGCCTCATAATGGGACCAGACAGAGTTTTCGTTGATTTCCTTAAATCCTTGTACTTAAGGATTTTTGATTAGCAGAAACAGCTATTTTCTAATGCCTTCAAAAGATATAGCTGTCTCCTTCCACTTTCTCCCAGTCACTCCAAGGAGCCTGTTGGCTCCCTGGTTGTTAAGATACTCTTCCTAGCTTAGCAACATAATAACATTCCTTGAGGGAAATCTGAATTCTAGAACCTCTTTACTACCATTTCTCTCAAACCTCTAGTTACCCTCTACCTGACAAAACCATGTAGCAGCAGATGACTTTTCTCAATTCTGAACATAGAATAGAGTTACATCAAATTTTTTAAAAAGGCAGGGGAGAATTTTATTGATAATTCTTTCTGCAATTCTGCTTAAAGAACACTTCTATGTGGTATATTCAGATTTAGCTCAATTAAAAACCTATGGATAGATGGCATGAATGATATTGAAGATTTCTCCGTCATGAATGAAATTCACTGCTCTGTTCAACCACATTGAAAACAATATCACAATGATAATTAGAAGTCATATAGTAATATACACATGTAAACATGTATGTACATATTGCTGTCAGGATGGTATATACTGATGCTTCCCAGTAGTTTTCTTTTTAAATTCACATGATTTTTAATTACTGAATTATAATCTCTGGAAGCAATGTAGATTATTTTTGAAAGATAAATACTATCCCGAAACAGTGCAAGGAGAAAACCTAATTTAGTCTATCTGCATGACTGGTTCCAAAAATTATAAGCTTCACATCTCTCTGTTCCTATAAATCATTTATGGCTTATGCCTTGCCACTTTGCTGTATTGGGACGGGGGCAGACTTGATTTTCTAAGATATTTTGACATTTTTCTGCTACACTTTGTATCAGGACATTTCTTTACACGACTAATAGCAGAGACCAGTAATAGTGCTTTGAGAAAGATAGACATGTATTTCTCCTTCATATAAAAGAATTCAATACTTGTGGGTTGTCATGGAAGATCCATGGTGTCATTATGAATCTGAGGTTGTTATGGTTTAGATCCATCATTCCATAATATTTGGCTTCCAATTTTGAAGTTATCTCTTGTCCAAAATGTTTCCTGAAATTCTAGGCATCCAAGATGGCTGCTATATTTGCAGGTATCAAATCCATTCTACAGGCAGGAAACAAGAGGAAGGGGGATGTGTGGGCACGTGCTACCCATCTGCTCCCTCAGAAAACTTTTCCACGAGTCCCAGACAGTAATCTAACACTGACCAGTTCTAGCTTTAAGGGAGGATAGAAAATGTAGCTTCTTTTTTAAAAATATTTTATTTACATTTCAGTTTTCGGCAGACACAACATCTTTTTTTGTGTATGGTGCTGGAGGATCGAACCCAGGATCGCACCCATCCCAGGGGAGCGCGCTACCACTTGAGCCACATCCCCAGCCCTGAAAATGTAGCTTCTTAACAGGGCCCATTGCCACTCAATTCTAAAATAGATATTAAGTTATAATGCCAGAGAGAGGAGAATGTATATTGGGTTGTAATCAGCAGTCTTGCCATACATAGATCATTAGTACTTACCCTATGTAGTACAGATCTGCATCCTGTGTAGTTGTGCCTTCCCTAGAGGAGGCCATTAGAGGTAGTCAGCTTCCTGGCTGTGTAACTGTGATTTAGTTTTATTTCCTTTATGGAGATCCATGGGGTCCTTTCTTGCTTGAGTGAGGTAGGTTGTGAAGTATATAATATTCAATCATAAAAATGCATCTGTGGGCTCTTGGGAGTGTGTTATGGTTATGGACTGTGTGTATCTTGGAGCAGCAAGCTAAGAAGCCTGAAGTCCAGCTGATGTGGACTGTATGATTGTACAGCTTGTTTTCAGCTATGTCTTTCCCAGTGACTTGGTATTTGTGCCATACCAGTTACTATATATTTTGAATAACATCCTTCACTGTAGGATAATCTCTATCTTCATAATTTTGAGAGATAATTCAAAAGTGCCCAACAAACCACCTACTTGGGAGCAGTGGGATGTAACAGGCCTCAGATAGAAGCTCATATGAAATATAATGCTGTCATTTTTCATTCCTACCTACAACAAATACAAGGTCATTTAGTGGGAAGCCTTTCATATTCAATAGAATTGAACTTGTAGAAATTTAGAGATGATTGTCTAAGGAGAGGCTAAATAAAGATCGTGTTTAGATTTCCTTTTCTTTTTTTCCTTTGTCAAGATGTGTATGTGAGTGTGTGTGTGTGTCCAGGGCTTGCAGGAAGAGAAGGGAAGTGATCACCACCATAACTTCACTTTTTTATTTTAACTCTACAGATGTCTGTGCCATATCTCTCTCAAGGACATTTCAAAAACAAACAACCTCCTCTGAATTGCACCCGGAAGATGTTACTGGTCTGAATTTGAGTGTGGATCAGAGAGTTTGCATAGAAGACAGAAAGAACTCAGGCTTTTGCTTCTTTTCTGGTATCAACCATGCTCATGGATGTCTCCAGGTTTCAGCTTTTGTTTTCACGGCAGCTGAGGCCTCTGTATGGCTACATTTTACTTTCTCCCTTACTTTTCTGTTAATAATCTGACTTGTTTCAGTAAATGTTTTTCAAACAATTTTTGAGGAAAATTCTGTATGTGCCAGGCATTGTGCAAGGTGATGATGCATACAGGTGAAAAAAAAGTGATGATCTCTTTCTTCCCAATGTGCACAGACTTGAGAAAAAAGACAGTATTAAAAGAAGTAAACACTTACAGATAGAGAAAGTATACACTTACAGATAGAGAAAAGAGCTTGTATTTGTTAGGATGAGTTTGGCTGCAAAAAAAATACAGTGGCTTTAACAAATGAGGCTTTTGGTTTTTTCCCCAAGTTTAGGTAGGTAACCTCAGATTAATGCAGAGACCCATAGATGTCATGGGACCTTGGCTCATCTCTCTTCCAGCTCCACAGTCACCATATCCACTGTATTTTCTGTTCTCATGGACCTATCATACCTGCAAGCTTGGAGTCTGCATTCCATGAAGAAAGAGCAACCAGGATGAAGCAGTGGCAAGTAAGTGGAGAAAGTAAACATCTCGCAGGAATGCACAGGGACTTTGCCTGTGCTCCTGGGATGGGCTAGTCGCACAGCTGCCTCTGGGCCTGTGGAATGGTGGCAGATGGAGTGTTTCTGCCAAGGATATGCCTACCCTATGCAAAAACTGGGGATCCAAGAAAAAAATGAGGGCTATTCAATAAGGAAGGCAGTAGATAACACATCTGCTCCAGCAAGAAAGAAGAACAGGGTCCCTTTGGGCAAAAAAATCAAAGGAAATCTCTGTTGGGATTGTCAAAGCAGGCCTCTCTGAGTTAGAGTTGAGACTTTTGAGAAGGCACAAAAGTAGGAACGAGAATTGCCCAACTGAGGCCAATCAACATTTTAATCTAAAATTTAAATTTCATTGTTTCATTATGTAGAAATTTATTATGATGTTTGCTTTGTATCACTATAACAAATACCTGATCAAAATGAACTTATAAAAAGTTTATTGTGGTACACATTTTTGGGGGTTTCCATCACGATCATTTGGCTACATTGCTTTGGGCCTGTGACCAGGCAGAAATGGGTGGCAAAGCAAAACCACCCTCCTCAAGACTAGGAAGTGAAAGAGAGAAAGAGATCCAGCTCCCACAATCCTCTTGACCTGAAACCCTGCCCCTTAGAGGTTCCACCACTTTCCAGTAGTGCCAAGTTGGGGATCAACCCCTAAGCACATGGGCCTTTGAGGAAAACCAAAGAAGTTATCTATTGTAAATTTAGTTCCAGATGCCATTTCAGTTAACTTAATCCTGAACAAAAGAGTCCTAGATGTATTCTTTGCTTCCATGTAAGAAAGAAAAATTTGAAAACTGCAGGTAGCAACCTCAACCTAATCCTTTATTGGGAATAATTAAA